CCCAATAGTTTATTTTGATCGTAACCGTTCATGTTTCTTAAAATTGCAGCTTTGAAGTAGCCTTCCATCTTGAAATGTTTCCAAACAACGTGTTTTCCATCTTCATGCTTTTTTCGATAAAAATCTTGCACACGACTATTTAGGGCTTGTTGATTTAGCATTTTAAATTGTTATCTAAACAAAAAATAACCAGATAATTTATCTAGCTATTTATCAAATTATCTAACAGTTTATTGAGTATTTAATAGGATTATCTTATACAAAAAGTATATTTAATAGGATATCTTTTACAAAAAGTATACTTAATAGGATTATCTTATACAAAATCTTGTTCCAATTTCATATTTGAATGTCCAATATACTATTTATAGCATATGTTATAAAAGTTTTCGACTCGGATTGAACACCAAATAAATCAAGTAACATTTAGGAGAACACTGACAACAACAGTAGCAAATCGAGTCATATGTAAAAATTGGCGTAAAGTTTTAGGCAAAGATTCAAAAAATCAAAATAGTTTATGCTACCAGTGTAAAAGTTCAAAATGATATTTTTGTTTTTCAAAATGATATTTTCTTTGTCGTACCCTATTCTTTTATTATCTCACCACAATTTAATAATATCACTTTCTATTGTGTCATCTCATAATCTTTTTGACTATATAGAGAGAGCATTTAATTGATTTTCAAGCATCGTTGATCTATATATATTTTTTTATTATAGATAATTTGGAAAAATTACTTTCTGCCTCACAATTGGTTATTTCACAATTAGTAAAGTAATAAATATTTTTAATATAGTAGCTAAATTTGGAAAAACGATAATCTTTAAATTGACGGTAATGATTAATTAGTTTTTCGCCTATGTCCTAATTATAATGGGCTATTATTGCCAAAATTCTCTTTTTAGTATACATCAACGATCTAAATAAGGCCTCGAACCTTATGAGCATCATGTTTGCAGACAATACCAATTTATTGTTATCAAATAAAGACATTGATAAACTTTTTAAAATATGAATAAAGAACTTATACAAATTTCTAATTGGTTTAAATGCAATAAACGAACCTTAAATATCGACAAAACAAAGTGGATTCTTTTCCACTCCACAACAAAAAACGTTTTTTGTCTAATGATTTACCAAAACTTTATATTGATAAAAAAGAAATAAAAAAAATTCCTAAGTATTTGTCTTGATGAAAATATGACATGAAAAACTAATATTGATTCTATATAAACAAAAGTTGCAAAAAGTATTGGAATCTTCTATAAGGCCAGAAATTATTTAATTAAAAATAATTTAAAACAACTATACTACTCATTTATTTATAGCTATATAAACTATGCAAATGATGCCTCGGAAAGCACAAGTAAAAGTAAGTTGCAATAATATATTTTTTAAATCGTTTTTCAAATACGATATTATATAAAATATTTATATAACACTTTATATTTTACGTTTTGTTGTATGAACAACCTAATGTTTAATGTTTTTGAAGATCTATTTACGTTTAAAGTAAAGAATAAATATAGTTGGCGAAAAAATAGCTATTTAAAAGAACCCTTTTGTCAACAAAGTTTGTTGACATCAATAATGTATAGATTATCGAGCACCTTATTTCTGAAATAAAATTGTCCAGTCTAATTTAGATTCATTATTTTAACCATTTATTTTTTCTAATGTTTTGGATTGTTATTTTGTTACAAACTACCTGTATTATATTATATTTATATTGTATTATTTATATGGTTTTGGCGACAAGATCGAATATGATCTTCTTCCAGATTTCAAGTTTATATGTTTATATTACACGACATGTAAATAATATAAACTAAAAAAAAAAAAAAAGCATTTTCTCTTGTCAATTTGGTTAGAAATTTAAATCTTTTCCAAATATTTTCAAAATACTCATTTGTTAATTAAGTTGTTAAACATTCGAATATATAATTGTAATTAATCTATTCGAAAATTTTCTTGTTCAGTGAATAACTCTTTCCCTTTCCCATTAGGCGAAAATTTCTTTTGTTTTGATTTGTTTGTAATAACACTATATTTTTAAATTCGAATTTATTAATTGCGTTAATTTCATATTATATGAACCAGTTATACACTCCCAGTAAACACAAAAACATTTATTAAACATTAAAACAACGTTTCGACAAAACGTTTAGATTTGGTCGATTATCCGTTTAGAATGAAATCCAGATTAACGTTAAGTATAAACGTCCATAAAACGTCTATATTCAAACGTATTTTAGACTATTATAGGATGATTATACGTATATAAAGCGTTTAGATTTTGTCAAAGTAAAACTTTTAGATCTTGTCTAATAGTTTCTTTGATTTAGTTAACGTAATTTCAATTTATTTAAGTTTTAAAAGTAATATAAAGTATAATTACATTATAACTTTTTAACTTTATATAAGTAATAAGAGCTTTATAAGTCTTGAAATTCATAAATAAGATAAAGTTATAAAAGACCTGTTCTTATTTTTTATATTTTTTATAACTATTATAATATGTTTATAAACTTTTTTACTATACTACTTATACTATACTTTTTTATTATAAAAATATTGTGGGGAATTATTAAACATTTCCCAGTGTCTCTAATGAGTTCACTTGTTTGTTTATAGTTTATTATCATATGACTGCGAATATATTATTTACAAGTATCATCTTTTTTATATAAAATTCAGAGCCACAAAATATAATATTAATAACCTTAAATACATATAATTTCGTTGGAATAATATTCCAATACCTTCACGAAGACCGCATCATTACAAATACATTAATGTTAATATTAAGATATAGTCACTAATGGTTTGCTAGTATCTTTGAAGACGTAACTCACAACACTATATATAAAGTGGGGTTTCACCAATTTTCTTTAGCAAATGTAACTAAATTAAGCTAAGATACATCTAAAATAAAAAAAAATTTAGTTATTAAACCTCTTGATTATTACAAAGGTGAATACGTACTGTTACACAACCATACTAGCGTTTACAAAATGAATTTAAACTGTTTATACAACTTACGAAAAAAGTTCTTGCAAAAGGACATTCATAACAAGAGACCAGCACCTCATATTTTTTAACTGTGTCAATGTCGTCATCAATAATTTCTAAAACATCGGAGTCCATTGATTTGTTGGCATTTAGGAAGGTAGATTGTCACAATAAGAGCTTTAAACTTCCATAAATTAAAATGGCACACCCGACACTTGTTTATCAGTCGTTTTGCTCTCAGTTGTTGTAAGGAAGTGAATCTTGAAAACACATTTAAGTCTAATTTAATTATTTAGCCAATAAAAATTATTTTTTAATAAGTTTTTTATTTCATTTTAATTATGCCTATTTAAACCGCTTGACGTAAACTGTTATGTGAGTCTTCTGACAAAATGGCTATATTACTATATTATAATATAATAAACGTTTATTAAATGTCGATCAAACGTTTAAAATAACAACTTATATTAGTCAATATTGTAAACGTTTGATCGACGTTTAATAAACGTATTTATTAAAAAATTTAAAGCGTGAATTTTAAATCTATAAAGTTTACGTTTAATTAAGCTCGTATAAAGGTTTACAATAGTGACTAATTTAAGTCGATATTCTAAACGATAGATCAACGTTTAGTAAACGTATATATAAAAACATTTGAAATATAAATTTCAAACCAGCGTCGATTTTTAGTCAATAATAATCGTTTTATCCATTTTTTGACTGATTTCGACTAAATATTGACCGATTCTGAACCAATCTGTGTTTACTGGGCTGGTTTTATGGAAACGCTCTACAACCTCTTCTCACACCTTTGTCAATACCACAAATTTAAATTTAATTAATTTTTTATATAAATTCTTGGCATCTTGTTTGCAATCGGTTTTTTCATCAAAATCTTCTTAAATTAATTTTAAACAACTAATAATGTTGTGGTAACCATCTTCAAAAGCTTGTACAGCTTTATTATAAAGATCATCTCGTTGAACACAAACAAAAGATTTTATTATACAGAGATCATCTCGTTGAACACAAACAAAAGATTTTGTAGGTAAACAAGAAAATTTAAAGTTTTTTTTTGAAAAAAAAACTTTAAATTTTCATGTCTACCTATAAAATCCCATCTATGAGGGAAAACCGATAAAAAAAATACATATAGTCGTTGCACAATACCAAAATAGTTAATAACATCAGGTATTACAGAAGCTACTTCAACTCCAACTAAATTGAGAGAATGTGCTACGTAGGGCACAAATTCAGCATATTTATTAAAACTTATACTTTTTACTAATATTAACTGCGTTATCATAAGATTAACCACATATGTTCTCCAAGAGTAACTTACAATCCTCTAATATTTGTTTTATTTGTTTACATAAAGATAAAACAGTACGGTTTTCTAGTTATGTAAATGTTAAAAATCTTTCATATGGTTTTTCTTTATAACATTAGCAAACAGTTGTTTTAAGCTGGTCAACATTTGCTACATCTGGTGTCGGTTTTGCAATAACTGCATAATTAATCTGGTGTCGGTTTTGCAATAAACTGCAATATTTTGTATCTTCATTATTTTAATAGCAAAGAAAAAAAATTTGTTTACAAAATATTTTTTGACGAGAATTTTTAAGTATACAGTTATGAAATTTTTTTTTTTAAAAGTGGCATGTTTTTAAATAGTTTTAAGGCCAAGCTCGAGGCCACCTTGGTGTTGGGGATCCTAAGGTTAAAGCCTCATTAGCTTCATGTTAAATCCGCCGCTGTTAAGTATCGATTTAATATTTCCTTTAAAAAAAAAAAATCGCATTTCAAGGGATATCTAATCCTTTGGATATAATGTATATATCCACCTGGTAAAGAAATATATATTATGTCTAGTAGTGAAATATATGTTTGTTCATCTGGTAGAAAAATATATACAGAAAATATATCCATTTTATCGAGAAACAGAATTTTATAAAAAAGATAATAGGTAATATAAGAATATATATTCTGTTATTTCTAGAACTCTATTAAAAAACTAATACAAGCTGAAATAAAACTCATATTTTTAATATGTAAACGTAAAAATCACCTTTGCAAACGCATCAAAAAAGCATGCTTGCTTCCTGGAGTTTCTTCGGGAAGATATTTTTCGTAAAAGTCTAAAACAAGCTCCTGTATCTTAAAGCCAAACTTTTGATAAAGGACCATCGATGGATTGGATGGAGAAACATGGAGAGTTATGTCTTTTCCCATACATGTTTGTATTAAATGGTATATCATTTGTGTTGCTATTCCGGCCCGTTGCCAGTCAGGATGCACAAAAATAAAGGAGATGTATGCTTCATTTAACTTTACATCGGGTACCATGAAAGCAAAGCCAATCAAAAGTTTTCGATACTGAACAACGCAGCTGAATTCTGGATATTGCAAGCATTCCGTTAATTCTATACCAGGCCAAAAAAAATCACTGCACAAAGCGTTAACAGCCGGTATATGTTTTGGCTGCACATAGCAATAGTCCACTGGATAACTTTTATATAACGATTTTGTGCCACATTTTTCAAATAATTCTTTATGAAGTTTGAGTTTAGGTGGTATTACATTGAAATCCCTTCTGATGTAGGGTTTTAATACACGAGACGTATAAGGACTAGTTATTGAATGAGTATCACTAATATCATCTGGATTACCAATTAAACGAGAAAAAACATTTTTAAATGTAGAGGTATGATTGATCATGCAACGATGTTTAATGTATCTATCTAAAACATTAACCCCTTTTAATGCAGGGTGATGGTATGAGAATTCATCTTTATGATTATTGCTAGTTTTAAATTTCTGATCAACCTGATAGCTTTCATCTAAAGCAGGTGTCAGAACATCAAGTTTGGAAAGATTTTCTTTTAACAAATTGTCTAAATCAAAAAGCACCAAACCCATTTCACGTTTTTGTTTCCTTAGCAGTAATTTTCGCCTTAATCTGCGAGCAGATGCATCGGATTTCAAAACTAATTGACAAGAATTAAGTCTACTTAAAAATTCAATTTCTTCTTTTGAACTTAATGGAATTAGTTTCTTTGGCTTAGTTTTCTTGGAACGATTTAGACTTTCTTTTGCAATCAAAATAGGTTTATCGAAAACAGGAGCTTGAAGATCTTTTTCCGATTTTAATAGCTCGTTTTTTATTTCTGATTCAGATGATTTAACTTCTTCGCACTTTACCAAATGTTGTACTGATTTCGAAATCGGGTTGTATTGATCAGATGACAGATTATTAGAATTTGAGTCAAAGTCTCCCTCAGTATTTACAAAGTCATTTAGTTCTGAAAATATTTCTGACGATGGTTCACTTATACTTGGCAAAAGTTGCTCATCAAGATCTATTGGCTCTTGCTTTATCAATACTTGAGTTTGATCTTTTGATTTCAAAAACTCATCTTTTAAATATGAAGAAGGATAAGAAGATAACATATCTGTTTTAATTTTTAGCTTAGGAATTTTCCAATCTGATTTTAACAACGACGATGAATCAGTTCTTTCACTGAATATAACGTTCTTTAATCCTTCTTTTGAGTTTTTCTTGCTTACTTCGTCTAAAACAGCTTTACGTTGGCGTTTCCCACGACCATAATCGTGAACTAACTCAGAGAAAGAAATTGGTTGCTGCTTCTGCGAAGTTGGCATACGTGAGTATTTCTCGATATTTGCATACGCTGGTGTTATTTCTTGAAGAGCCCACCAGCCAGTTTCTCGAAATAATGTCAATCCAGATTTGAACAACCTTTGACTATGCACAGATAGTGTACCAGCAACAGTATTAACCCAAGTACTACTTTTAGCACGATCGTGCATTAAGCAATTCCAATGACGATCGATGAATAGGCAAATTTCCTCCTTCCATCTGAAAAGTAAAACACAAAAATTTTAATAACTTAAATTTTAATTTAGTACCATCGACGCCATTAAGCTTTATGTTCTTAAACACTCGTACCGAAAATATCCTTGTCTTCCGCTTTCGCTCACAGTAAGATTGTAAAGAACTAAATGAATAACTTGTACCCAGCTAAGTCTTAATCGTATTAAAGAATCACAACCTTCATAGCTACAAGCCTTGCATTCATAAGAAAATAAATAATCACCTAAACCAAAACGAAGAAAATATTCCTTAAAATAATTTTTACATTCTTATATTATGTTTAAGCAGATATCGGTAAACACCTTTCAGTTGAGAAGGCTTCTTGCAATTCATGCATGCAAGATGTGCAACAGCAGAACAACGATGGCATTTGTAATTGTCAAGCTCGATGTTTGCAATCACTTGAGAACAGTACTTGCAATTAAACATTCTTATTAGAACGGTCTGAAACTATAAATTAAAATTTACGCAAGAGTAAAAATAAAAACACATTTTTTAAATTTACCTTTTGGTTAGAATGAATAATAAAACAGATTAATTAATATAAATAACCACCATAAATTAAAAAGTGTCAAAAAAGCTTAAATTATATCATTATAAGTTATATAAATTCAATTAAATTTAAAATAAAACTTCATCAAGTAAATATTATAATAATAAACATTAAAATATAAACTTACAAATTTCAATTTCAAAAATACTAATTTTTAAATTAAAATAATTTTTTATTATACTACTGTCAAAAAAAAAAAAAAACATTTAAAAAAACAAAAACGTTTTCCTGCAATATAATTAAAAATATTAATTTTTATTGTTTTTAAAATCACATGAATTCTGTTTTTCTTAGATCCAGGATGCCAGAAATAAATTGCAAAAAACAAAATAATGTGGACAAATCGAAAAAAAAAATTAATTCTTTTCAACCATTTTATTTAAATTTGTACGATTAATTTAAGACTTAAAATCAATTCTATAATTAAAATTACAAAAAGGAATGCACTTAATAAACGAGATAAAATGAATAAATGATTGCAGTTATGTTAAATTTTTAAGACAGTTCCTATAAAAATTATAATTATATCATAAGTTCCAATAATAAATACTTTGAAAACTTTAAATAAAATTATAAAAATTCTCATCATGAAATCATAAGTTTTATATAAATTCGAAAACAAAATCTTGTAGACTTTATAATAAACTATTTACTTCAGCATAAAATTAAGTTACTTTTTATATAGTACATATAAGTTACTATTTATATAATTAAAATTCTATTTATGAAACATTCTTTGTATAGTAAATATACATTAAAACTCTCTAAAACGTCAGTGACTATTTTACATAAAAATACTAAAGAATGTAGAGTGGATTAAACTTTTTCATAGTAAAATCGAACATATGCAAACCATACTCAAATGTACCGACAGCAATTCTACAGTAAAAATGGATTAAATTAGAAACCATTAACTAAGTTTTAAATTTTTAAATCAAAAACATTTAAACTTACCTATTTAAAGTCATACTGACAGCTAATGAGGTCACACCTTTGCCAGTAGATATCGAATAAGCATCAATGGAAGCTAAAATAAAAAAACTGACCATATTGGTTATACTTTTATTAACATTACTCATATTGTAAATAGTGTGTATGTATGTGTGTATGTATATACTAAATTAAGAAATAAAAAAGATATTTTTGTACCAGACAAATCAGACTCCCAAACTTTAATTGTAGAGTCCAATGATGACGTTACTATGCTAAATTTAAAGTAAAAAATAATAAAAAAACATCTCTCGCTTATTTTTTTGTATCACAAGCTTTATAAACTTTAAATAAAATGTAAAACTTTTAAGGAAAGCTAAACTTATTAGAAAAAGTCCGAACCATGTATCATTACTAAATGTTTTTAAAAACTTGCAGTCAGTAAGTTTTTCAGCGTGTGAATTTATTATAGTATACAAAGATTTAAGTTGCCTGATATCCCAGACCTAAAAAAGATATATGGCATATAAGAAAATTGTTATTGCTCTAAAAGAAATCTATCGCATAACAAATCGTTGATAACCAAGAAGTTGATATCTTAGAAGAAATGTAAAGAAAACTAAAACATTATCTCAGACTTAGAAAAGATATACGACATTTGATAAACAAATTAACTATATCTTCGATCTAAATTAAAAGTTGTATAAAGCAGGAAAAGATAACTTTTCAAATTTTAATTAGAAGTTATAAAATATCATTTCCTTCTTAAATTCTTAACAATACAATTTTCTTAAAAAAACAATTAATGATTTAAAGAAAACGCCATACAACAAGCTCACAGCCTGTACCGTTACATCCTGTGCTCCCTGTCACCAAATTAAATGAACTTACATCCAAACAAGTCTAAAAGTAAAAATTATGATTTTAATTTCAAATAAAACAAATAGATGCTTGATCATAAACAAATTTACTTTTTAATTAATCAATGAAAATAATTAGTATTAATAAAGACTAAAAAATATTAGCTGAATGATATAAATAAAAATTCAAATTCCACATTTGCAAATTTAAAAATAAGTACTAAATCTAAAAAATATAACTTTTTATGAGAACTGATTTCTTCTGTACTTATAATTTGAAGCATATCAGTTTGTAATAGTATAGTATATAATAGCATTATAATTATAGCTTTTATTTCTGGTTCAACTTGACTAATTATATGCATGCTTATTGCACACACTGAAATATACACATATATAGTATTTATTATGATCTTTAATCTTTCTTATCAACTATTTTATACAAAATAATGAGCCTATGAAAAACCCACAGCCTGAAAAACTAGTGATAAAAAGTGGAATTTCTCTTTCAACTCTGAAAAATAAATAAATGGACCTTGCACTTTGTCTGAAAGTACAATAAAGAATGTAGAGTATCAAGTTTTAAAACTAAAAAATGGAAATAAATAGGTTATGCCAACTTTCCACTGATCAACAAACAAACAATATTCAACAAAATAAAGACTGATATAAATGTTATAGTCTGCAATTTACTACTACGTAATGATATTATGTATGCAAATACAGAAAATACGCTGGTGCAGCCTCAGTGGTGAAAACTCACTGAAATGAAGGTCAGTTATCACGTAACTTGTTGCACGGGATAACTACTAAAATCTGGCAAAAACTTGTAATATCACTCGAAGGCAATAAAAATTTCAGGAATTTTTGATCACTTGAGCCACCCTTATTCAATCTCAAAGGTCAAATATTTATACTAAACACTAGGTTATGTAGGATTTACTTCTGTTGACTCCTGTTCGGATTTGTTGTTGTTTTATTGTTTACTTGTTGTGCAGAAACATTGAAAAGCTTATTATGACAACTAAATTTTGTTTGCATCTACATTTTGATATTTTTCTTTGAAAACACACATTTTGCATAAATAAAGGAATAGAACTTTTTAAGAGTTAATATAAACTGAAAAAAAAAATTGTGATACTAATTAAGTAATTAGTAGTCTTATAGAAAATTTACTTAACATTTTAAAAAAGACAAACATATTTGTACACTAAATAATAAAATGTTTCTACATGTAGATTTTTTCTTTTCCAAAAGAATTATATCAGCAACTAAACAATATTTATGTTACTGAAAAATTTCAATATTAATTTGAAATTGATAAAATGAAATAATCAATGCGGGTTTATATAAACACATTACATGATATTCCTTTAGTAATATCACGCCAAAAACGATATGGAGAACAAGAAGACTGGTTGTTTCTTGTGTCCTCAAACAAGCAGACATCGATTAACTCGCTTTATGATTAAAAAACGGTTAAACAAATTCTGAATCATACAATAGACTTTGATTTAGTCACAGGTCACTTGAAAACTTGAGGCCAATCAAAATACTGTTGAACGGAGATGCTTTTAAAGCTTTATTAAAGTTGGCAAGGGTCTTTCACACAAATGTGCAACGTGTACCTTAAAAAGAAATTAGCAGAAATCATGTCAAAAGACTCTGTGGCAGCCGAAAGGTTTGCAGCATCTGTAATTACTAAAAAGAAAGCATCACTTCACGGAAAAGCTCCTGTTTTTTCAAGAAACATTTTAATTAGGCATTTATAGTTTTAGTTTCATTTTTTGAAGTTGATATTTTTCATGAAAATATATCAATTTTGAAGAGGGGTCTTTTTAATAAAGGACCACATTTTTTTATTTTTTACAGATATTAGGGTGCTCCAAGAAGACTTAAGCTTATCACAAAGCACCATGGAGGATGTTTGACAGTCCAATGTTGCGTTGTATATGAACAAGATCTTTTGTTTTCAGTTGAGCAGCCTTGGCACAGTGGTTAGAGTTCTGGCTAAGAACCAAAGAGGTTTGTGGTTTAAAGCTGGCTCTTGCCCAATATGCATTATTGGTAAAGAAGCAGGTGTGAGATTCACACCTGCTTCTTTACCAATGTTGCATATTGAGCGAGAGCCGGCGTCAAACCAAGAACCTCTTGGTTCTGAGCCAGAACTCTAGCCACTGTGCCAAGGCTGCTCAACTGAAAACAAAAGATCTTGTTCATGTGCAGCACAACATTGGACTGTCAAACTCTAGTGTGGAAAATCAAGTTGTTTCAAATTAAATTGTGAAAAACTTCCAAGTTTGATCAATTGAGTAAAAAACTTGATTTTATAAAAACTTAAAGTTGCAATGAGAAAAATCCTATAGCTAAATTTGTTGTTCACTGCAAAGACTTACAATTGGTTTGTCAACAAACAAGTAGTTGAAATCAAAAACCTTTCTGATGACTACATTGTGAAACTAGGAGTTGATGGTGGTTTCTAAAAAAGTAGGTGTTGAAATCGTGGAAAAAGATTCAACTGTACAATCTCTGCCTAAAACCTCTACCTTCTCACTGATTCTCTGGTGAAAGATTCTGGTGGTAAATATTAGTCATATTACTGAATTGAATTTCAAAGAAAACTATAGCAATGTCAAACAAATTTTAAATCTATTGAACCTCAATGAACTTTCTTATATTTTTTTCAGTAATATAAAGCTGGCTCATACAATTTGAGTGAAATTGAGTGTGGCTGGTGCAGGCATCAAGAATAATTTGCAGTCTACAAGCACATTCTGCATCACACATGCTCATGTGACATTGCATTAAAATATGCAGATTTAAAAACTTTTGAAATAACAAAGTGAGATACTCAGAAACTGAGTGGTACAAGCATCAAGAAGGCAAATAAGTTCAAGAAATTTATCTATGCACCTATCATCAATGCCTCTAATGAATATTTGTACTTGATGTGTTTCCACTAATGGACCTCCATCTGTTGCCTGGAGTTGTAAATCATCTTTGAATATCTTCCTTCAAGATTATGATATATTTTCTTGCATGACTGGCTTTACTTCACATTCAGCAGCAGCTATTTTACGAAAGATAAAGCTGGAAATTAGTGGAGGAAGAATTTGAAGAGTGTGGATGTCTTGGAGATATATGATAGAGGTTCATAAGCATTTCTTCTCACCAGCTTTTCCCTTTATTGATACACTAAGAAAGTTCAATGGTATTGTCAAAGCTTTTAGCACTTGATGATGCTGTGTTGATAAAATTAGGCAGTTTAGGGTCTATTGCTATTCAGTTTATTGCTATTCAATATTCTAACACTCAATATTCCCTAATACACCATATATTTCTATATTCAATTACAGAATACCACTATCATTCCAAATGTTCATGGCGTCATCTACCACATTTGACAATTCATCCAACACCAATAGCTCTTTGGAAATTTATTGAGAGCAAGTAATCCATTATCTTTTCAGTTCCCGCTGGCAAAGGCACAAGAAACCAAGCAAACACACAGTCTATAAGACAGACTTCATAGATGTGTCACAGAGCTAGAGTAGCAAAAAAAAAAACGTATTTTAATCTGTTTTTTTTGCGAAAAAAAATGTTTTTTTTTAATTTTAGTTTTTTCAAATTAAAAAAACCTATTACATATTATTTTTAAATTTATTATAATGTCAACAATAAATACAAAATTTTAAATAATTGTCTAAAAAATGATTTAAATTATTTTTTAAACAAGTTACTGAACCAACCTTACTAAACATACAGAATGTTTAGCAACATCAGTTAAGTAACTCTGTTCAATAACACTGCCCAGAATAAATTCTTGTCTTTGACTTCAAATCATAGATTATTTTGCATCACATATTTGATTTTCGAGATCTAAACTATGGGAAATAAAAACTAATTTTAATACTTTATCATTTGATAATCAAGGGTCAGATTTATCCAAGTAGGGCCCCTATGACATGTTGATGTGGAAGACCATTCCCCACAAGGGTTCTGGGCTGTGAAAATATTTCATAATAATTCCAAAAAATAATTTTTGAAATCAAAATTTCAAGAATTTCTTTATGAAATAACCTAGCAAAATTTTTATAATTTTTTTTTTTGTTCTGATAAGATTTTATTTTTGATTATAGTGTCTACTATAATCAAGTTGTCAATAGCTTGTTTGTTTGGTTTATTCATGACCAACAAAATTTACAAGTTATTGACAAAGAGCAGCACACCATGCCACTCTGTAATGAAAATATAGTTTTTAGATTTTGGATCAAGTTAAAACGCCAAAAACAAAAAAAGTTCATATTTACATTGGTTCAGGTTCTTTGAGTCCGCCGCATTTTGGGTAGAAGCATTCCATGGTTTAACAACATGGTTAGTGAGGAAGTTGTTTCTTTCTGCACAGTTTCATACAAGTTGTGTTTTCAGTTGTTTTGTGTGTCCACAGGGTTGGAGACTGCACTTTAAAGACTCGGTGTTAGATTGAAGCCAAGGGACTGAGAAGTTAACTTTGTCAACTTTGATAATGATTTTGAATTGCTCAATAAGATATCCTCTTTCTCGTTGTTCGGTTAGCTTTGTCAAGTTAATTCTTAATCATCTCTGAATATAAGGCAAGTGTGTGAAGTTAGCAGTATGTTTTTTGACTCAGTTTTGAACTTGTTTGAGTTTAGCTATGTCTTGAGCTGGAAATGGTGGCTTGTACTGCAAATTCTATACGCAGGCTAACATATGAAGTATACAGTCTGTGCCATAATGCTGAATTTTGACCTCGAATAGCTTTCTTGAGCATGCAAAGCAGCTGGTTGCCAGCTGATGCAGCCACAAAATTTTTTAGTATTGGTTTTGCTGTACCTAGGTGCATCATAAAACAAAAGTCAATTTTTTATCTTTAGTTTTTGGGACCCCTAATTTTGTGGGGACCCTTGTAGCATAGCACACTCAGCTTTTATCAAAACTTAGACCTGTATTTAAAATCAAAATCTATTTTGCTTTTAATTGTGGATTAAAGATTATCTACTAAATGATTTTTTAAATGCTGTACTTGGTGATGGAAGCAATAAAATTTAACTAGCGGTATTGGACAGTGTTGGAGCACATGAACAACATAGTAATATGAATAACAATACAACAAGGTCAAAAATACCTATCACAGACCAATAAAATTGTCAACAATTTTTTAGGAATTTTTACCCCCTTCCCCCTTGTCAACAATTTGTCAAAATTCCAGAGCCTGCTTCCTCCTTCTCCTATTAAATTATGTCAACATTTGATTACTCTTCTTCCCCTCCCCTCCCCTCTCCTTTACCTCATTGAGAAAATTAAATAAAAAAAAAACATCCTTTTTTGATAACCAACTTGATGTTTATTATCTACTTATTCAAAACAATTTTAAGAAAAACTAGAAAATTGGATTTTTTTTTTTTTAATTTTTCATTTCTATTCTATATCAACCTTTATTTAAAACTCTCTTGTAATAACCATACATTGGGTAAAAGTAAAAGTAAAAAAAATGAAAGTTTTACAACAGATTTATATATATTTTAATTTTTTCAATGCGATTTTATGCAAAATTTGAAATAAGCTTTTCTTCCCCATTGAGAAGAAAACAACTGATTTTTGTCATGTCCTGTATAATGTACTTAAACATGATTAGATTAAATAAAAAAAATTCATAAAAAACTTACTTGAAAATAATTTTTTTTTGGTAAACATGAAACAACAAAAAGAGTTTTAGGATCCATAAGCCTAAATAAGATAATGCTTCAAAAACTAAGAAACCTATTATTACTAACAGCTTTAACTGAAAAATAAATCAAATTTCAAACTTGGTAGATCTGTCTTCACTGGATTGAAAAATCAAATTGTTTTCATGTGACCATTTAATATCTGTAACCTATAATCATAATAAAATGTATTGTAAAAAATTGTAATATTAACACATCTTTAGTATTTAGTTTTTAAATCAGTATAGTATTTAAATCAAAATCATTGAAATCTTTGATTTCTACATGATTATTGATATTATTCTATGATTATTGATAACATACTTACCAATTAATTCAATAAACAACATTATTGACAAATCCACAGTACTAGCACGGGAACATATATGGACCTACTTTGAGTACCATTATTATTGAACAGTTACCCCATGCTATTAAACTTTACATCATTTTATTGATAACTTTTTTTTAATTTTCACAGGATCCAGACTACTGTTAGCGAAAGAATAATTTAAACTTCACTCTCAAATCAAGTACACATTTAAACATTTGGACAGCCTCATACACTTTTTAGACATAACCATCAACTAAACTACACAAGGGTATATCCACAAGACTCTAAATTCCTCAAGTTACACTTAGTCTCCATTTTAACTCACACCATCCCTCACACATCAAAATGAGCATCATTTTCTCTCAGGTCATTTGTTACAATTCAATAATTTCTGAACATGACTTATTACAGATTTTGAAACACAAGACAGTTGATTCTTAAAGGATATCACATTATCAATGAGCACTAAGCAAGTTACAATATCAACTTATCCATGCTACTAATCCCTCTAAAGCCACAGAGGCACCCAAATCAATAAAACAATTAGGGAGCACTAACACACCATCGAAGACAATCCTGAACTATCCATTATTTTTCCGGTCAAGCCCACCCTTAAGTATTTAAAAATCCACATGACACACACACACACTTTTAGTTTAATGCTCAAATCATGGGTATCTCAAATTATGCTCAAATTATGAGTTAATTGTTTAGTTATATTTTATGTTCTCTTGGCCGGACTTAATACCACCATTGTTGCTATGACCATATTGTAGCACCATCAGATGACATGTCTAAAGAGCTACAAAGAGCATTAATCCAGCATTTTTTTCATTTGAGATCTCTCCAGCTGGATTTTTTATATCTGGTTTTTTACATATAATGTAGAATTTTGTACAATATCTAGTTCACAGCCTTCTATAATAACAGGCCTAATATCTAGTTCTTCTATAATAACACAAAACGCCAAAAAAAATACAAGCGATTTAAATGTTTGATTATTTTTATATTCATATTTTCATATAAAGTAGGGTGTAATGGTAGTCTATATTTTCTAATAAAAATCTCTAATAAAGACAGAAATATAAAAAAAAAAAACAAAAAATTGTTAAAAGGTAATTATAATTTTTGTGTTTTAAATTTCATCAAGAATAACAAGGCAATATCAAATAATATTGATAACAAACAGAACCATAACAATGTAACTGTTATAACAGTTGGTTATTAACAGTTACTGTTGTAACTGTTAATAACCAACTGAGTAGCTTATATCTAAACCGAATAGAGAGTTTAAACTCAGTTTTATATAAAGTTTTCAAATCACTCCACTTAGCCTAAGCCAGTTTTCCATTGTGCAAAAATAGAATCTCACCATTTTTTTTGTCAATCAATTGTTTCATATAGATTTTAAGAGATACACATAATCCTATAATAAGTAAATACCTAATGTTGCTAACCATGGTTTACTATTAACTGTTTTAAAAATTTCAAAAAATTGTTGATTTGCTCAGTTACGATCAGAAATTATTGCAAATGTCTTACTATTACCAATATTATTTATTCTATCAACTGTTGAAATTAAGCAAACCGAAATTCAGAGGAAAGATTTGCAACAGGTTGAGCTTTACATATAAATTCTTGACCTCCAAAAAGAAATTTAATCATAAATAATAAAATTGTTTTAGCTTACTTTTCAGAGTACTGCATGACCAAACAAAGCACCTTTTTAGTAAAGTAATGAAGCTTTGACATAAACCATATGAATTAAAAGTATGAAAGTTCTTTTCAATGAATCTAAATTCATAAAAATACTATTTATGAAATTTAGGTCCTCAATAGAGCTTATTTTTGAAGTCAATTGTGTTAAAGTCAGTATGCTTAGCAACTTGTAATCAATACATAAATGTATAAACTACGCATAGCAAAATACTCATATACTCTGGAGTATATAAAACTTCACCTACATTATTTTTCCTCATCATATTAAATTGCTCGAATAGAATATTTGACTGATGCAAACTTTCTTTATTCTTTAAAAATCCAACTGCTTCAAATAAAGCTGATTTTGTTTTTATTAATTTTAATTTGTTTACATTTAATTTAAAGTTTTCAAATGAAATACTACAAGTTGTGCCATTATGGTAAGCTAAAAATGAATAAGCATCGAAAATTTCTAAACAAATAATGGAACACCAAGTTTGTACATTTTTGATTGTTGGTGAAAGCTTTTTTTTTCTAGGCTGGAAAACAACAACATCGTTATTATCACTTAACAAAGATTGAATATTGTCAAATATAAGTTCATCCTTTTTTACAAAAAGAGGATGAACTTATTTTTTCAACTCATCTGGTAAAATATTTTGAAAACTGCTTGAAGTTACAGTTTTTCTAACTATAGTTGCTGGTTTGGGTAAACAATTAGGCTTCAAAAGGTACATCATCTAGCCAATTCAGTTGATATACTGCTGTATAGTCTAAAACAATAAAAATCTGTTCTTGGGATAGCATCGCTCCATATTTTTCTCTCCTCAGGATTTTTCAGGAATTTATAAATTGATATTTATGTTGTAGTTAAGTGATAGTTTGACTTGCAAAGTGGTACACAGCATTTTAAAAGCATCTTACCTATTACCATATCTTATCGATAGTTCGACAATATTATTTTCTTACAATTTTAACTTTTACGTCTTGAAGTTGTGCTATCTAATTTATAAACCAATCGAATTTGAAAGATTTATTAAAAAAAAGCAAACGCAAACTTTTGTATAAAGTTATAAGATAAAAATATAAACACAGTAGTATAAATTGGCCTTCAGTCAAACAACTTTATTGCACAATGCCAAGGCCTGTTTTTATAGAAGCCTGTGATCTAGTTCTTTATATTTTATCTGTTTATAAGCCATTATGATCCATATTTAAGAAACTACATACTCACAAATCTAGTATACTATTTTAATTAAATAAATTTAGTTTCACAAAACAACAATAGTGATTGTTATCAAAATAGTGATAGTTGCATAAATTATAAGATAGTTGCATAAATTATTATAATTGTTACAATAGATATTATGATAGTAATATGTAACATTTTCAATTAACAAAATTTTTATTTTGTTATTTGTCTTTTTTTTATTGTAACATTTTTTTTTTTGTAAATTTTATTAATTTTAAATCAAGTATTTAGAAGATGAAATTTTTACATATCAAAAACTTTTACTTAATGATCACACTTTATTAATTTAATAGATGTGAATACGATCACTATGGTTACTAGAGTCTATTTTTTTAAAAACTAGTCAATATCTCCAGAAGGTTTAAACACGACATCAGGCAGTTGAAATTTGATCAACTCTAAGACTCTTAAGCCTGAGAGATTTATCCCCTGGTAAGTGAATTTAAAATTTCACCTGGTAAGTGAAGTATTTAAAATAAATACAAAATTGCATTTTTATTAACAAGGTGTATTTCCATACTATTGTTGATAAAAATACAACTTTTGTATTAAGCTAAAATATTTAATACTATTTACTATTTTTGCAATTTAACTTACTCTGGTTTTCATTAAAAATGTCTGTACTTTGAAACATTTTCTGTGATTTTTCTAGTCTACAACTTTTAAAAATAAATTGAAGCATGAAAATATATTATAGTTACCATATTTTGAGCAATAGAACTTGATTTTAGAACACATTTAGTAGAAACATCCCAAAGTTTCACAGTACAATCTCTTGAACCTGACACCATTTGGGTACCATCTTGGGTATCATCATAATTAAAAAAAAAAATTCTAGAAAACTATTATTCAAAAAATTTCTTGCATACTATAAAAAATTTATCATTGACAATACAACAATAAATATACCAATAAAATAATATAAATAAAAAATAACATTAAAAATTATATCGATAAATAATATAAATAAAAATATAAAAATAAAAAACCTTGGTTTGTTGATAAAGCCGTAACCACTAATTTGTGATCTTCATACTTTTGAATGACTTGTGTGTCAAAAGAATTAAAACAAATAACTTTATCTCTGGAAGAAGAAAAGAAGCCTATGTGGCTTGGATGCGATACAACCTAAAAAGTTCAAATATAAATCATTAAAAGAAGCCTATGTGCCTTGGATGCGATACAACCTAAAAAGTTCAAATATAAATCATTAAAAGAAGCCTATGTGCCTTGGATGCGATACAACCTAAAAAGTTCAAATATAAATCATTAAAAGAAGCCTATGTGCCTTGGATGCGATACAACCTAAAAAGTTTAAATATAAATCATTAAAAGAAGCCTATGTGCCTTGGATGCTATACAACCTAAAAAGTTCAAATATAAATCATTAAAAGAAGCCTATGTGCCTTGGATGCGATACAACCTAAAAAGTTCAAATATAAATCATTAAAAGAAGCCTATGTGCCTTGGATGCGATACAACCTAAAAAGTTCAAATATAAATCATTAAAAAAAAGTTTGTGCATAGATTTGATTTTTTTGTACAACTAAACAAACCTGTGTTACTTCAGCTTGATGCGGAGAGTATTGGCTGATTTTATTCTTTGACTCAACATCATAACAATCAATATTCTAATAACAAAAGTTCATTGTTATAACTACTTTACAATACAAACTTATTAATTACTTTATCAAGGATGTAGATGTTTATAAATAAAAGTAACTATATATAAAAGTTTGTTAAACTAAGTTAAATTGTTGTTAAATTTTACTTACTTTTTTACTGTATTTGCCTTCTTAAGACTGAGGAGGCCACTACAGTCAAGAAGGCTTTTCAATTTTAAAATTATCTCTACTACTATACCACAAAATTTTAGAAAGGTTTTGTTAAAAAAAATTGTTAACTTTTAGATGAGCATTTTTTAACAGTTTTCAAACAGTTGTAATTGTACCACAACCAGACTATTATCTAATTTGCTTCACACACCTTACACATTGCTATACTTTTATTCCTGCAAGATAAAATGAGCAAAATATTTGTTAAAGACTTATAATATATAAAGTTACATACTCCAACACTATTTGCAGCTAGTACATATTCTTGATAAAAATCAAGACTTGTCACTGGGTTATAATGTTGGATGACTTTAGATCTTTCTGTTGATAAGACCTTCTGTTTAGACTGTTTCTTACCCATCAAATAGTAACAAATTTAACTTTTATAAGTTGCAAAACTATTTTATGAAAGCTAAAAAAATAAATTCATTAAAGAAAATAAACATCAAGTGTAATTAAAAACTTGCAAAGTAATTAAAACTTTATGCATGCATAACCTTTTAATTAATAAAACTATATGTGAGCACATGTGTGTGTGTGTGTGTGTGTGTCTATATATATATATATATATATATATATATATATATATATATATATATATATATATATATATATATATATATATATATATATATATATATATATATATATATATATATATATATAGATATAGATAATATATATATATATATATATATATATATATATATATATATATATATATATATATATATATATATATATATATATATATATATATATATATATATATATATATATATACACATAAACATACATACACATATATACGGTTTTGTGCCAAATAAATGAATCATTACAAATTTTTTGAAAATTGAAAACTGTTGATCAGATCTCATTCTCAATGGCAAGAGGCTATAGTGTAGATGCTTTATATCTAGATTATGAAAAAGCATTTGACAAACCTCCTCATAATCTTATGCTTCACAAACTTTAATTAAATTCTTTTCTTTCTAATAGAACACAACAAGTTTTCATGGGTTCTACTACTCCAGGTTGGTTACCAGTCACCAGTGGTGTCGCAAAAGGATCTGTTCTAGGACCTCTTTTATTCACCTAATACATTAAATACATGTTATACACAGATGACTGCAAAATTATTTCCACCAACTTGACATCTAAGAGTCCAGCTTTGCTCCAGAAGGATGTAAATCACATCATACCTTGGACTCTAACCTGATACTTACGCTTAAACTAAAAAAAGTGCCTTATTGTATGTTTTAACAAAAGTAAAAATCCTAATCACCAATACTATATCTTGACTCAGCAAGGGATGCAACTTCTCAATTCCTCTTAAAATGAAAGAGATCTTGGCATTTGCATTTCACACAACCTCAAATGGGTCACTCACATTGAAATAATATCATCTAAAGCTAACTATGTTCTCAGTCAACTAAAGAAATCTTTTATCTATAAAAATGCTCATGTTTGGAAGAGACTATACACATCCCTTGTCAGACCTCACCTCAAGTATGCTGCCAGATTATCATTTCTACACCCCACCTCACTAAATGAAAGACGCATTCGAGGTGATTTAATCTACAACTTTAAATTTATAAATAACTATTATTATTTATAAAAAATATTTATTGGCTTAATCCACAAATCAGCAATCCATCTGTCCAAATAACTCAAGGACACTCTCAATGTCTCATCAATGAGTTCTTTAGTGCTTCAGACCTCAACAACAACATGTAAGCTATCTCTAGTAGGCCTAATTTCTTTCCTAACAGAGTAGTCAAGCGATGGAATTTGCTCCCACAAACTGGAATTGACTCTCATAACCTAAATGAGTTTAAGCATTGCATCGACAAACACTCTATCCAACACTAGTTTTACAATTTATTACTGAATTACTGCTATAGCTCATCGTCTACCGACATGGAGCTAAAGGGTTGCTACCCGTTACAAGCGAGATAAAAAAAAAAACTCATTTCCTTTGTGTTACTAGTTTAATCCTTATTTTAATATTTTCTCGCCGCAGCTTATCATTATTATTACTATATATATATATATATATATATATATATATATATATATATATATATATATATATATATTAATAATATATAAATATATATATAGTATATTCCAATTATCATTATTTTTTTCTTTCTTATATATATACTATATATATATATATATATATATATATATATATATATATATATATATATATATATATATATATATATATATATATATATATATATATATATATATATATATATATATATATATTAATAATATATAAATATATATATAGTATATTCCAATTATCATTATTTTTTTCTTTCTTATATATATACTATATATATATATATATATATATATAAATATATATATATATATATATATATATATATATATATATATATATATATATATATATATATATATATATAGTGTATATATATATATATATATATATATATGATATATATATATATATATATATATATATGTATATATATATATATATATGTATATATATATATATATATATATATATATATATATACATATATATATATATATATATATATATATATATATATATATATACATATATATATATATATATATATATATATATATATATATATATATATATATATATATATATAGTATATATATAAGAAAGAAAAAAATAATGATAATTGGAATATACTATATATATATTTATATATTATTAATATATATATATATATATATATATATATATATATATATATATATATATATATATATATATATATATATATATATATATATATAGTATATATATAAGAAAGAAAAAAATAATGATAATTGGAATATACTATATATATATTTATATATTATTAATATATATATATATATATATATATATATATATATATATATATATATATATATATATATATATATATAAATATATATATATATATATATATATATATATATATATATATATATACATATATATGCACACACACAACATCGTATCATATTTAATATAATACTATGTTGGGGAACATAGTATTCATTTTAAATAAAAATAAGAAAGAAAAAAATAATGATAATTGGAAAAACATGGAGCTGCACAAAGTCCTACATTACACATTCATATCTTAAATCTTTTTAAACATTGTGTTTGTAACATACCACACACCTTCTTTGAGAATTATTTTTTTATTATCATTTTTAATAATCATTCATCAAATATATCTTTTCATTATTGATTCATCAGATGTATAATTTTTATCCTTTCGTTTTTGGCACTGAAAGAACTTCCTTATTTGTATTTAAAATGAAAGTGAACACATGTAAAGGTGAATTATTGAAACAAAAGCTCTGCAATAATGTAGTAGTAAATTTTGTGACAAGTAAACAAATAATTACTGATGAACAAGAAGGAAACATAAGGAGATGCATAAAACCGTAATATTACGGCATGGACATTTGGGAACTACTTTTAGTTTGTATAATATTACGGTATGGACTGTTAATGGGTTAATAGTTCCATGATAAATTTTGTCAAGAAATACTCTAAGATCCTTTTATCATTAAATATTGATACAATTGAAAAAACTTGAACATTACATTTAACTTTCAGTTTTATTATAAGATTTCAGAAACATGATTAAACTGCTTTTAAAAACAAACAAACAGCAAAATAAAAAAATTTCAGTTGTCATGAAAAATTGTTTAAGAAACTAAAAATTATTGTTGGATTAAACGAGTACAATGTTTCAAGTCAAAAATGTAATGATAATGGCTAATTTGAGAAGCCACCCACCCTGTATATTGAAAAAAATCTTTTAATTGTGCATTTAAAAAAGTAAAACATTTAATTATTAATTTATTTCACAATGCATGATTTCTTTTGCAAGATTTTTATTTTTAATATGCATTTTGCGGAGATTTTCAATAAATACTTTTAATCCTTATCAAAAATAAATATATAAAAAAATAAATATTAATAAATAAACAACTATTCAACTCAATAGTAAATAATATTATCAACATTTAAAAGTGTTTCTATATTATAGTTGAGCTGTTAAATATTCTCTGTAATATTATTATTAACAGTTTAAACATAAGAAAAACAAAGAACCAACCAAACTCTAACATCTTTTTCAAAAAGAGAACAATAACAACAAAAACAACAAAAACAACAAAAAACTAAAACAATAAAGCTAAAGTTAAACTTTTTATAAACCAAAAATTTAAAACAGAGAAATATTATAACACAAATAAATATCACCTTGAATAAAGTATATACAAATAAGAAAATGTCATAATATAAAAATCTTTTAGGACTATGTATATATATATATATATATATATATATATATATATATATATATATATATATATATATATATATATATATATATATATATATATATATATATATATATATTAAAGAAAACTTTGAAAAATTATTTTAAATTTTTTCTACATTTTTATACTTTGAAGCTTTGATTTAATTTTGAAAAACTTTATGTCAATCATCAATATCAAGATCAAACCTAGAATACAACAACCGTGATGTCGTACCTTCAATCTCAGCTAAAAAGTTGAATAATATTTAAAATTACAAAAAAAAGTCTATAATTAAATAATGCAACAGATTAAATTTAAAATCAATACCAATTTTTCCAATAACCATTTGAGCAATGTCTTTTATTTCGTTATACTCATGAAGCCTATCAATGTAAACTTGCAATTCGCTTTCACAGTAACTATATTAGCAAAAAAATAAATAAATCATCATCATGATCATGATGATCGTCATTATGAACATCATGATAATGGTGACGATGATAATAATGATTATCATCATGGTCATGATCATCATTATTATGATTATGATGATCATGTAGAGCTCCGTTCAATATAGCATAACCCTTTCTCAACTCTATACCTTCAAAACAAGAACCTTGACAAACAAAGCTGCTGCACAGAGAAACAAGTTGAACATAGTACTACCAGAACATTGTGGGGATAGAACTCAGAACTTCTTGCTGATGAGGCGAGCGCTCTACCTTAACACTACTACCGCATAATATATAGATTAGATTTAGTTGCTATTTTAAATTTCAACTGATTTAAAATACTTTCAATAATTGAAAAAGAATGATATTTTAAATACTTTTTTAAAAGTATTTTTTACAACAGTGTTTACATGAGACATTTGAAAATTTTTGTTGGTATGTAAAAAAGATTTAAAAAAAAAAAATTAAATTGCCATACTATTAGAGGAGAAGCGTTTATTTTAAAGATTTCTTGCAGAACAACAAACTTGAACTTTTTTTGAAATTTGAGACAACTAACTAGTAGGCATATAGTAAAATCAAAACTCATGTGCATTGGTGTTTCTGTACTTAAGATATAAGCATATGTATACATACACATACAACCATACATACACATATGTATATAGTAAATAGATACATACAACCATACATACACATATGTATATAAGAGCATATGTACTTGACATGTATCAAATGAGAAAACTTTGCAAAAAATTGTGGTGATAACCACAATTTAAAAAAAAAAATGCCTAAAATGTACCTCCTAACCTTAAACAAAAAATGTACCAGCTAACCTTAAACAAAACATGCACCTCCTAAACTTAAATAAAACATGTATCTCCTAACCTTAAACAAAATATGCACATTCTAACCTTAAACAAAACATGTACCTTCTAATCTTGAACAAAACATGTACCTTCTAACCTTTAACAAAACATGCAACTCCTAACTTTAAACAAAATATGTACATCGTAAACTTAAACAAAAAGCATTTACCTATTCTTGTAATCTATACAAACCTTCTAACCTTAAAACAAAAATTACCTTTTAACTTTCAACAAAATATATACCTTCTAACCTTAAATAGCGCTATGTTTAATATAATCAAGACAAAATTTACAAACACTGACAAATTCTAAATTCATATAAAGGTTTTAATTTTATTTAAATTTTCATTTTCATCAAACAATTTTTAGTGCTTGAAAGTTATGACCTGTATTTATTTACAACCTCCTCACTCAGAATAAGTAGGGGAGGGTGTGTGTGTGTGTGATTTGAAACTTTAAATGGTCATAATCAAATAAAATTTAAGACCAGCCAATGAATAAAAATAATACATCTTTGCTTTAATATTTAGCTTGTTAATGTTTATCAATTTTGTGATCAACATCTTCTTTGAAATAAATTCTTGAGAGGTAAAAATAAACTTTAAAAACAGAAGTTCTACTTAAAGTGATTATGAATAATGATTCTTTCCTACATTTAACTATACCAAACACATAAAATCTCTGCCATAGTAAGAGCTAAAATACTTTAAAAATCATTATTCAAAAATGTTATTGTTTATAAAACTATCTACATCTCAATATATTATAATAATATATAATAATAATATATATAATAATAATAATTATTATAACATGTTTAAATAGAAATACAATAAAGATAAAAAAATTAAAATACTTTTCAGATTTTAATTCTGTAATTTCTTTTTCCACTTTTTCAATATCTGAACGTAAAGCTGCAATATCTTGGACTAAAGTTCTATTGTCTTCAACTGGGGACTTATTCTTCAAAAAAATATTTTGAATTAAATAAAAAAAAATTAAATTTTTTAGGCTACTCAAGTTTTAATAAATTTTTATGGTCAATTTAAATAATAAATTAAATATATTTAATACATTAACTTTTCTGTCATAACTAAAACTACACTATGCAGATACATTATAAATTACTCTCATAATTTTCAAATTTTAGTCACCATCTTTCTTTTTCAGTTCTGATTCTTCATTAATAATATCAATCAACTGTTACCTTAAAATTAATACTTTTTCAAAAAACTAAATACATTTCTAACAAATTACTAAAGAAATGTAATTTGTTAGAAATATTACAATTCCAAAAAATTTTTTTTTTGGAATTGTAAACTTCATTACTCTTATTAAAAGTATATTTATTTTGAATTTCATTTGTTAAAAAATTAATTTCTTAAAGTCATATAATATAAAATCTTTGATTCCAATGTATCTAAAAAGTAATCTTGTTAAAACTTACACTGACTGGAGATTTGAATGGCTTAAAACAAGCTGAGCTGCTTCCTCTAAAGAAAATGTACTAATTTTTAAAACATAAATACAAGTGGTTTTATATTTATTAAAACATATTCAACATTTATTAATTTTTGTCAAGAAAAAAACATTGAAAGCAAAACAAATACCTTCTATCATAGGGTGTAGTACTGACCCTACTTTTGGGGGCTTTGTTTGAAATAGGTGTATTCATATTTTTATTTCCTAATTAGTTACATTTCAACATCTATAATTAAACTTAAAAAACATGTTGATAATATGATTTTTTTATTTTAATAGTTACTACCAAATTTTCGTTATTTGTGTTATATTTATTAATAAAAGAAAATACCAACATAAACTTTGACATTTAAAATATATAAATGCTTAGATTAGGCCAGAAAAAAAATAGGTTGTTAGAGCTAAATATTTAGACAGAAAAAGGCTGTCACAGCTGAATATACAAAAAAATAGCTGAATATTTAACAGAAATAAGATGCTATAACTGAATATTTAAAGAAAAACAGGTTGCCATGGCTGAACATTTAAAAACAAAAATAGGTTGCTATAGCTGAACATTTAAAAACAAAAATAGGTTGCTATAGCTGAATATTTAAAGAGAAATAGGTTGTTATAGCTGAATATTTAAACAATAGTTCAAGACTATTCAAACTTGCCTGATTGCTATTCAAAATATATGAAGCAAAGAACTTTGAAAAAAAAAATCATTAATAAAATTCAGGTTCATGCAACTTAGTCATCTATTAAGTATTAAAAACAATCTTTGAAAAATAAAAACACCTATTAATGCAATTAACTTAACCTAGAAATGAGAAATTAATAAGAAACAAAAAAAAAAAGACAACAAAAAACAACAACAAAAAAAACCCAAAACAAAACAATGAAAATCCTAATTGATTTTGAAGATGAACATAAACATCTGGTATATTGCTATAATAAACAGTGATCAACCATAAATCTGTATTGGTATTGGTTTCACATTAAATTTCAATTTGAACCGATATGATATATTTAGGTTTTGGTACTTTTTATTATGTCACTAAAAAGCAAAATATTTTGAGAATTTTCACATAATACCTCGAAAAAATCTTGTTTTGCAGAGAAAATCAGTTGTTAACTTTTGCTATTAACTTATATCACCAAGTTAAGTATTAAATCTCAATTTGTGAAACACGTGTAATCAATTCTAACATAATACACGTATTAAAAAATAATATACATATAAAAAAACAACCAATAAAAAATTGCATTTTTAAATAAAATTTTCTAATGAAATTAATTTTGATCAGCTAGTCAAAAAATGTTGGTATCAGTTTCAGTAAAATATTTGCCAAAATGTTGGTTTCGGTTTGAACTAGAGTACTCAAAATTTTGGTTTATTTTGGTTTCAGCTTTTTTTCTGCTTCACTAATAATAAATAACTTTTATAAAAAGAGAGAGTTAATATTTTAATGTCGTTTAATGTTGACAAATAAAAATGGTTTTATTTAAATTATTGATGATTATAATTACGATATACCACAAATTGTCATCGGTCACAAATTTTTATTTAAAAAGTATTTTTAAATTGAGATAATTTTTTTTCAAAAACTTCAACAACTTTATAAGTTACATAACAATTTCACTAGAAATCACAATATATGCACATATTTCAAAATGAATTGCATAATATTTTACAAGCTTTAAACAAAAACACTATAAATAACAATTTATTATAAAAACAAATTTTGGTGTTACACAAATGTTTCATGATTAAAAAACATTAAACAAAAAACAACAACAATGTATGGTCAAACAAGGACAACAATGAATGATCAAAAACACAACATCTAAACCCAAATAATAAACAAAAATTTACTAAATGAGAATTGGTTTAATATTTCTATTTGAATAAAAAAATACTAAAATAAATAAAAATAAAAAATAATTTGCAAGAAAAAAAACAAAAAAAAACAAAAAAACAACCCGAATTTTAATGTTTAAACGGTATTATCAGTAGAAAACAACTGTGTAATTATTTTTAACATGAAAGCACTGTCAACAAAAATATATAAATGCTAAAAAAAGATGGAGGAAAAAAAAATATATTTATATAAAAAAAAAGTGAAATGTAGTTCTATATGAACCACTTTTACAGTAGTAACAATATTAAGTATAAATATAAAAATCTATATAAAATGAAATATTATACATAATTTAGTTTCTTAGTTATAGACATATATCAACATGTCACATGACTTCATACATGAAATGCGATAACAAATTCTAATATCTATTGGATCTTTGACCATCGTCGACTTAATGAGTGCAATTTATGCAAACGTGCATAAGTTTAAACCTAAAAATAATAATTAAATATAACATAATACAAAAACATTAACTGTTAAAAATTTATATTGTATTTCAAACAAAAAGTTGCTTTTCCTTATTTTTTTAACTAAAAATACATTTAAGTTATGAAATAAATTATTTAAAAGAAAATTATACTTAAATTATATTAATTATAAAAACCAATAAAAACAAATTAAATCCCCTGCCATTAAGGACTTTTCAGTTAAAACTATGTAAGGTTAAACAACAAAAGCTGTATATTTTTGATTATAATTTTTTACAAACAAAAAACTTCAAATTTCTGCTGCAAAAGTTAAGAATTTACCACATTAAAATGTAGAAAAATATCTAAGTGATTCTGCTATGAACGCTGTAATTTCTACGATCTAAAAATTTGAATTTTTTTATATAATATTATTAATGTAAAAAAAACTATAACATGATTTAAAAAAATTATTATTCATATATAAAAACAAATCAGGACATCTGTTAAAAACAAATGATAATTTAAATTAAAAAGCAAATTAAAAATTATGTTGAAAAGTATAAACTATAATTTAATAATCATTAATTATGATTAAGTTATTGTTGAAAAAAATGTAAAATGTTCAAATATTGATTTCATTACTTAACATTATGAAATTTTGTTACCTATTGCAGAAATTTTATCTATTATAGAAGTTTTGTAACCTATTTTAGCAGATTAACTACCTATTATTGGAGATTTGGTCAGTCTACGAGTAGGAGAAGTCACCTCAGCATTTCTAGGAAAATGATAGGAAGTTTCAGCATCTCCAGAATATCGTTTAATAGAATTATCTTCTACTTTGCGCGACTTATCTTTAACTGATTTGTCCTTTTTAAATTTCTTTCGCCATGATTTTGTACGCCTAAAATCACCTTCCACTAAATCCGATTGAGAATATTTTTGAAGGTCATTACATAGATCTATCAGTTTACTGTATTCTTTAGCAAGTATTTTACGTGCCTATTTTTTATAAAATTAAAATTAAATAATTTATTTAAAAAAGCAAAAGATAGGACTTAAAATACTAAATAAAACATACTTTTTCATTTGTACTAGGAATTTGCAAATAATATGCAAACATATCTACATCAAAATGTTCATCTAGAGCTATGACAGCACCATGAACACCAGATTGACACAGGTTTTGAGAAAATTCATCTAAACCAATACTTGATACCCATTTTATAACTCTAGCATTTGTCCAAACTAGTATATCTAAAGGTCATCAATAAAATTTTCTCAGTAAGTCAAAAAATTTTCATAGAAAAACAAAAAGGAAAACACTAAGTAGTACATAACAAGATAAAATTTGAAGATTTAAAGTTTTGTTGTAATTTTTGTTTGACTTTCAATTACTTTAGCAATACTAAGTCAACATGCTTTACATATATACATGTTTTACGTATACCATTTTTTTCATTTAAGGCATCACTTCTTCGCTTTTCCAACATCTACAAGTAAAGCAAATTATGACCAATAAAATATACAATTGCAATGAAGTTATAAAAAATGAACTTTAAAGAACAATCATTGAAAAAAAATAAATAATAAAACGACCACAAGTTAAAAATAATAATAAAACGACCACAAACTAAAAATAAAAAGTTAAAAATCATTTTATACCTACTACTTAAAAAAATTAAAATAAAAAATACTTTTCTATCATAATTGAGTATTTCCAAACACTTTGTCCCACAATCTAAACTATTTCTAAACAAAAACATTAAAAAAAAATTTAATGAAAATAAAAATTTCATCTGAAAACAAAAACAAAAACAAAATATAATTTTTTTATATTAACAACTATTTTGATATATAAATGCGAAATAGGAACAATATTATACTTTACAAATAATATTATATAATATAAACCTGTGGAAACCATCAATAACTTTAAGATACTTTGTCTGTTCTTTTTTAGAAATGTGTCCTAACATACGAGCATCCACTAGGTTTTCAATAAACGAATACTATATATGTTAAAAAGAATACTATATATGTTAAAAAGAATACTATATATGTTAAAAAGAATACTATATATGTTAAAAAGAATACTATATATGTTAAAAAGAATACTATATATGTTAAAAAGAATACTATATATGTTAAAAAGAATACTATATATGTTAAAAAGGGATGTTAAATCATCAAAACAACAAATCTTAAAATATATTAAAATATAAAAACAGATTTTTTAAAAGCAAGAAGTATTGAATTAAACTTCAAATCAGGCTCATTTATTAACTACAACAGAACTGGTTTCTGCATTAATTAAAGCAAACCAACCAGTCTTCTGCCATTCTGCCAAAAAGAAGCAAAAGTTTTGAAACTTATTATTTTTGAAGATAATATATATAGAATAACAGTAAACAGACACAAGAACAAATAAATTAACAATCAAAATCTTTTTACAAAAAGGTGTTATAACTGATTTTAATAAATAAAAAAATCCATAAAAATTGCTTGTAGTTAACATGCTTTTGTATGTCAAAAATTCCATTTTTAATCTTTACATATAATAGCTTGCTATAATAACATCCTTCTTAAAAAAATGTTTTACAATAATATATATTTTTTTGATTGACCTATTGTTACACTACACTATGCAAATGTGGCTTGTATTGCCAACATTCTAGTTTAGACAGATGTGTTAGTATGCTTTTTTATATCAACTTAAACTGTAGTCTTAATTTTCTCAGTCTACTTTTTTTATGCTGTTATTATTTCTTTATGCTTTTTACTAAAATTTCTTTTTTATAATGATTTGATGTCTTTTTATTCAGATATTGGTGTGTTATTCATCCTTAGTAACATTTAACATGAGATTTATTTAGATATTGGTGTGTTATTTACCCTTAGTAACATCTAACATGAGAACCTTTAACTGTTAAGGTAATTTTGTTTACTAATAAATAGTTCATATACTCTACACCATATATAAAGTATTATATATAGTATTCTGCAATCTTGCTTTTATAAAGCTACATACAAAGTCTTCAAAAATTAAAAAAAAAATCAAACTTTTTTCTTTTGTTTAGAGTTGAATGGTTAAGAGGTTAAATAGTTTAGAATTAAAAGGTAAGCCACCCAAACTATGACTTAAGTTTTTCACATATTTTTAAAAACACAATTTTCATATCAACCTTCACAACCTTGCAGTTGGTAAAGAATTTCAACTCATTGAAACACCCAGATTGATCATTTTCTGTGTCCAACACAAGTTGACCAATTTTCAATAACAGCACTCTAACTTGTTTTTGAAATTAAAGCAACTAGATGAATGCCTTAAACCTTTTTTACAGATCAAGACTGTAGTTTTATTGTGAGACAATCCCTACCAAAGTCACCATCTAAAATTTAAGTGCTCCTTCTATCCATACTTAAAACTTTTAAATAACTAATAAACAACCTTATAAGAATTTTAAAAATGTTTTTGTATAAAGAAAAATAAAACTGTAACAAAATATTAGGTGCCATGTTTTTACAACATCCTTTTTAAAAATTTAACTAAGCACGTTTAAAAGGTATTATCAATAGAAGTGGAATAGTTTAGTTTCTTTGACAATATTTTCAAAACAACAACTTTATGGTAACCTACTCTGATCGTATATGATAAGATACTGTTAATACTATTAACTAACACTGTGTAGTTCAAATCTAAATAAAACTAGTATGTAGCTTTAATAAAGTTTTTTCAATAGCTATAAATGTATATTTTAATTTATTTGTTAGATAACGAACAAAAAAAAAATTAGCATATTAGATAAATAGAAACTCACCCTATACTGAGGAAGACCAAGACTTGCAAGCCATTCTGAAGCAATCCAAAAATGATTCATATCACCATAGACTAATGACTATAGGGAAAACAATATTTTCAAACAAATATTCATGACAAGTGAGAACAAATAGACTGTCAATAAAGAGCCAGAAATAAATACACATTACACTTTTGGTGTGACAAACTCTTTGTTTATTGTTACTACTATATCAACAAATTATTTGTAACATGGCAGCATGAGAAATAAAATCTTAATGAATCTTTTTTTTAAGTATTTCAAACTTCTATAAAATTGTAAAATAATAAAAAAAAAGTATATATATATTTTATATATGTGTATATATATATTTTATATATGCATATATATATACATAAATATATATATATATATATATATATATATATATATATATATATATATATATATATATATATATATTGCTTTAAAAATTGTTGTTGTTATTTTTATCTTATTAAATCTACAAAAATACAGCTTACAGTTTTTGTTGGCGGGGAAACAGGAAGAGTAACATTAACCATTTCATGAACAGCTAATCTTAATTTTAAACGATGCAAGGGATTGTTCACACCAATTTCATGTTGGATTTCATAATCTGATAATGCCTAGAAAATAAAATTAGAAAAAAAAAAATTACTTTGAGTAACTGAGTTAAACATGGGTAAAAAATTTATCTACTAGCAAATTTATAACATATAAAGTATTCATTAAAATCATCATACTATGTCTTTATATTTGAAATCTTCATAACATGTGTAGTGTTATAAATATTTCAAATACAAAGAACTTTTTAATTACAAAGTTATAGTAAGTTAAATATTCATTAGAATCATTATACTATATCTTTATGTTTGGAAAAATTTAAATACTTAATTGTTTTCAAAGAAAGCAACAAATAGGACTCACTGACATAATTGAACCACTCTTTACATTGGCTCTACAAGCATGTATATACCACTCTGGTAACTTCACCCATAATTCTAACCAAGCAAGAATTGCAGGAGCATTCCATGATGCAAAAGGAGCTCCTGATGCCATAATATCTTCTAAAAGTTTGTGTTTCATTCGAGTTTCGGCATCACGTTGTGCTTCAGCATTGGAATCTAAGTCTTCGCTTTGTCCGAGTTCCAAGTCTCTCGGTTTAAGTTTACCTTTAGTAGAAAATATTTTTCCAATTGATGTTCGAAGACTTTTATTTTTTCCACCCCTGCGAGTAAGTGATTCTAAACTATTTGTCATGCTACCAGGTGAACTAGATGAAGAAAAGTCAAATTCTCTGTCAGGTTCAAAAGAATTTGAGCTCCAATGAGTAGTAGAATTACTTTTCAATTTATCAGAACAATCTGATCCAAGAGAGTTTGGAGCATCAGAAAGTTGGTCTGCAATCATTTCTTGAGAACGCCCCTGTTTCAGCTAAAAAAAGATCATTAAATTCTCTTTAAAAAAAACTTAAACTGCATAATCATAGTGCAATTAAAACTACTTCAAAACTAAAAGATTTTTTATTTCAAAACATATTCAAAATAATTTAAATGTTATATTTGGTAATAACACTGTAATATTTGGTAACAACATTACATTTCAAAAATGAACTAAGTTTTTGTTTGGCTTGATTTTATAGTATTTCTAGGTTAATTTAGGCATGCTAATTTAAGAATACAATTGGTTTTAATGTAGCATTATTATTATTATTTCGTCGGGGATAGTGCAAAACCGCGTAACTAGCATTTTATAATACCGCGTATTTACAGCACATTTTTTTACTGGAGAAGTTTAAAACTTTATTTATTTTTTATTTTAACTGATTTTGGGTTCATTTTAGTAAAAAGAGTATTATTCATGTTTTTTGTAATCTCAACAATAAATATTTGGTGTTAAAATTAATAATATCCAAATATAGTAGCAAATGCTAGTTACGCGGATTTGCACTATCCCCGACAATTTGTTTCATTTGTGGATTATTACCTGCATTAAAATTTAAATATAAAAATTTATATACTAACAATAACATGACTAATTCTAAAAACAAAAAAACATTTCTTAAAGAACCTTAAGATAAAACTGGAAACTAATTTGCTTAAAACTATTCAAAACAAAATAAAAATCAGTTTGTTAGTTAAAAAGTAAAGTACCATTAAAGGTTTTGTATCCAATGGATCATATCTTGTAAAACCAAAAGAATCATTAGTATCAGAAGGGTTTCTTCTCTAAAAAATAACTAAATAAAATGCTTATTTTTGAATCACCAAAAATTGTCATAGAAAAAAACAAAAGAAATTATTACATCAGGTTTAGAATAAGTATCAGAAGTTATGTTTAATTTTAATTTTCGGTCTTCAATCTTGTTTTCAGAAGAATCTTTAGAGTTAATACTTCCGTCCAAACTACTTGTTTCACTACCAACTCTTTTTTCTATTTGCTCAGTCAAAAGTTCTGTATTTCGATGCTCAACTTGCAACAACCTTAAACACAAAAAAATTAAGACATAAAATTTTTATTAGATTTCTTATTTATTTATGAAATATTTATATATATTATATTACATAATATCATATACATAATTTGTCTCTAGTATAAATAATCTAATATGTTATTTACTTTAGCATAAATTTATAAGTATTAAGAGGTATTAAAATAGTTAACAGAAAGATGTTTAACAAAAATACTTTTAAAACTCACTCTAGCTCTTCATTTATAGCATTTAGTTGATTTTGAAGCATACTAGCTAGCCTATGTGCATCACTTGATGTAAGAGATTCTAGAGTATCATCAATAATTGCTGGAATTCGACTTAAACTTTTTAAATCATCTTTGTTATTTAATGCAATTGCAACATTAGAAATGACATTAGCTTGATTCATTTTCTGCCAAGTATTGTCTGTTTCATCTTTTGGTGGAATATATGATGATAATTTGGAACCAGCTGACAATGAAGAGGTTCGAAACACAGGACTAAGTATTGCTGGCACTCTTGAGTGTGCAACAGGTAACCCTGTGGTAGGACTAGTAACAACCTTGCTGCCAGTTAGGAATGACTTAAAATATTAAAACATATTTTTTTTTTTGAAATTTTAAAACAAAAATTCAAAATATTTATAAAGAAACCTACTTCTCTTTTAAGGCTTAAAATCTCTTCTTTGAGCTTTGAAATTTCACCCACCAAAATATTCTATAAAAAATAACTTTTTGAAAGATTCAAAATACTCTTCAATTATTTTCAACTATTATAAAATAATAATATAAAATAATATATTAATAAAAATATGCACTTAACAAACAACCTTTTCTTTAGAAATCTTTTCAATTTCGCTTTTAGACTTTTCTAGTTGCTGGCAAATGTTATTCTAAAATAAAATCATTTGAAAATGATATTAAGTATCTGAAATGCTTTCAAGCACTCTGTAAAGTTTGTTGAACTTGCTTTAGCAACAAATCTCAACCTTATATCATGATAAAATTTTATTACTACTTTCTATCAATAGAGTATTGGTAGCAGTTTAAAAAATCACTTTCTCACCCAACTAAGTAATTTAAAAAAAAATTTTTTTTTAAAAAAAAAAAAGAAAAATCAGATAGACAAGAAAGGGCAACCAGGGCAACTGGTTCATTTTTCCAGCAATAATTAGACAAGATGTCTATTATTAAGTTTCAAAACTGCAAAAAATTGATCTAATCTTTGGAATTAATTTTGGGGCTTACTTAAAACTCAGTTTTAATTTTTGGAATTGTTTTAAGAGTTACTTCAAACTCAGTTTTAATTTTTGGAATTGTTTTAAGAGCTACTTAAAACTCGGTTTTAATTTTTGGAATTGTTTTAAGAGCTACTTAAAACTCGGTTTTAATTTTTGGAATTGTTTTAAGAGCTACTCAAAATTCAGTTTTAATTTTTGATATTGCTTCAAGGGCTACTCAAAATTCAGTTTTAATTTTTGATATTGCTTCAAGGGCTACTCAAAATTCAGTTTTAATTTTTGATATTGCTTCAAGGGCTACTCAAAATTCAGTTTTAATTTTTGAAATTGCTTCAAGGGCTACTCAAAATTCAGTTTTAATTTTTGATATTGCTTCAAGGGCTACTCAAAATTCAGTTTTAATTTTTGATATTGCTTCAAGGGCTACTCAAAATTCAGTTTTAATTTTTGAAATTGCTTCAAGGGCTACTCAAAATTCAGTTTTAATTTTTGATATTGCTTCAAGGGCTACTCAAAATTCAGTTTTAATTTTTGATATTGCTTCAAGGGCTACTCAAAATTCAGTTTTAATTTTTGATATTGCTTCAAGGGCTACTCTCAAAATTCAGTTTTAATTTTTGATATTGCTTCAAGGGCTACTCAAAATTCAGTTTTAATTTTTGATATTGCTTCAAGGGCTACTCTCAAAATTCAGTTGGAAAATAATTTCAATATATTTAAACAGTGAACATAAAATAACATAAAATAGCACAAAAAAACATTTTTTTTTATTTACTGCATTGGTACAGCTTAATTAACACTTAATAAAACTAAAATTAACAGATTCAATTTATGATTTATCTGATTTTCTGATTCTTATTATTTTTTTGTTACAATTATTACAAACTTGCAATCACTAAATTGCATGCCATAATAATTAAGTGTACAATTAAAGAAAATTGTTTTCTTGATCTTTCTTTTTTGTTCTTTATTTACTATATATACAATTGACAACTAATGTGCTAAACTACTGTTAGCTACAATTTTATACAAGCGCGAACAATGCATACAAATTTTTTTTTAAAAAGCTAATTAAATATTTGTGCATACTTTAAAATAACATAAATATATAAATGAATATAAATATATATATTGAAATAACATAAATAACGTAAATGGGGAAGAAGAAAAATTTTAAAATTATTGTTACATTCTATTTTAGCTGTGCTTTAGTTACTTTTTTTTATTATAAACATATTTTTAAACAATGCTAGAAATCACTGCCAATCAACATTAAATGACCAAAAAGATAAAATAATATTTTGATCTTTAAAAACCATTCTAATTGAAAAGACATTCTATTCACAAAAAAAGAAGACAAGTCAAAATTTTATAATAAATATTAATACATATATATTTTTATAATAAATATAAAGACATTTAAATTTATAAAGTTAAAACTATATATTATTTTACATTAGCATCAAAATTAAATAATCAAAAGTGCTAAAAGTGCTGAATTTTTCTGATTAGTTAAACAAAAACAGCTTAAAAACAACTATAAGTTAAAAAGTTAGAAAAAACAGTAACTAATGGAAATAATAGTTTAGTATAAGATTAAATATATTTGTTTTTGGTAATTTTGTACAAGAAAACAAATTGTTTTGAATGATTGATAAAAAATAAGTTGTTGAGAGAAAAAAGAAGATTTTTCTGATAGAGTTTCTGATTTGAACTGATACAAAATAAAAAAATATTAGGCATTGTAAATTCTAAATAAAACAAAAAAAAAAACTAAATAAATAACAGGAATAACAAAATATAAAAATAACAAAAAGAAAAATTAATTATAATAAAGGAGAATTATAAATTACTTAAGTAAATTGGAATGATCTGTAAATTTTATTAAAAACTTATTCTTTAATATTGATTTTTAAAATGAGTCTAACTTGTATGCTGTTTGGCAAAAATAAGTCATGTCATATATTGCATAAACATGTATTTATACTTTTTTAATATGTTATGGGAGAGTGGAGCACCATGATACAATTTTGGTTTTTGCTTCATAACAAATTTTTGAATACGCCTTTTTTTTAGGCTATTGATTTAAAATGTAGAATAAATTTATACCTACAAAATTAAATTTATTAATTATAAAAATACAACATTTTAAACTTGTGAGAATATTTAAAGTAAAATTAGAAATTTGTTTCAAAGTTGCACCCATGGGGTACGTAGATAAAAACTATGAGCATTATTAAAAAAGTAAACAGAAAGTATAAAACTTAAAGAGAAGGCAGATTTTTATTTAAAAACCAAATAAATTAATAATCATAACCCAAACAAAGCATCCAATGGTCCAAATAACATTTCAGAAATCCAGATAATTATATTTTAAATGTTATTGTAATAATGGCTTTGTATCGAAATTGAATCTACTAGTATTTTATATACCTAAATCTCTTAAAAATTGACCGGAAATATTAAAAGAAATGATTATGACACAATGGAGTACTATTATACAGTTTTAGTTTTCAATAGTTTTGCTTAATGAAGTAAAGAGTTTATGGACTGTAGTTAACAAAACAATGTTTCTTACCGATAAATTGAGTAACATACTTTAAAACTTAGCAACATAACAATCTAATAAATTACTTTGTCATAAAAAAAAACACAAAATTTGACCTCTCGCAGGCCTAATGATATTAAATGACATAATTTTTTTTTTTTTGCAAATCAATTACAATGTTTCATAGTGCCCCATGTATCACGATGCCCTACTCTCCCCTACACAAAAAGGTGCAATACATAAATTGCTATGCATATAAAAGATAAAAATGAATCAAAATTTGATTGTCAGAAAAATGATTAGTCTATTTTTAAATTTTTTTATTTCAGCCCGAAAATGTTAATAGGAATCTCAAGACTCCGTGAAAAATAAGAACTCCTGAACTCTAAACTAAAATTAAGAACTTATGAAGTCCAGACTCAGTTAATTCTTACTCTTTTTAGATACAGCTCTAATAATACTGAGCACTTCAAAATTTATTATGATTTCAGATAATTTACTAACAATAGACCAAGGTCAAATTTTTGATTACTAAATTGATAATTAACAATGGGTAATATATAATTATTTAGATAGTTGATCAATGCAAAGATGAAAATGTACAAAAAATATAAAAAAATATAAAATATACTAAAATTCAAAAGTAAATAAAATTACTTTATCATCAATTGACTGCATGCGTTCTTTAAGCTGCTTTTGAAGCTGATAATTGGATTCTGCCATAAGTTTATCTATTGTGCTTTGAAGTTTTATATTATGTTCTACAGTTAGCCGTTCACATTCATTAGCCTTAAAAAAATTATTTACTGTAAAACATAGGAAATAAAGTAATAAAAAAAAATATAAAATAATAAATGATAAGTTTAGAAATTAAAAAAAACTGTGAAAATATTAACAAGAATCTTACCCTGGCTAAGTGTTCAGTTATTTCATCTAATTGAGCTTGAAGATTTTGTACTTTTTCTTCAGCAGTAAAATTTCTTTCTTCAGCCTAAAAGAAAATGTCATTTGAATAAAACAATCAAAAAGTATTTAATTATATATAAAGTATTATTTAGAAGGTAAAAAAACAGTTACTGCTATGTAATATATAGTTACACTGTTGTTATATATATAGTTACATTGTTGTTATATATATAGTTACACTATTGTTATATATATAGTTATACTGTTGTTATATGTAACTATTGTATTATATAGTTACACTGTTGTTATATATATAGTTACATTGTTGCTATATATATAGTTACACTATTGTTATATATATAGTTATACTGTTGTTATATGTAACTATTGCTACATATGTAGTTGTTAAGTATAACTACATAATAGTTAACTTAATTAGTTGAGTTGAATAAATAGTTGAGTTTTAACTTAAGTTGATAAAAAAAAAAAAAAATTGTTGAAAAAGATGTTATTTAATAAACCAATGATGAGATATTAAAATTAAAAAGCAAAGTATTAGTTATTTGAAGTAAAAATGATGAAGTAGTTAGTTTCAAGTGTTATGATGACTAAGTATATGTTGTTTGAAGTAAAATAGTTATTTAAAATTGATAACAATAAGTACATCAAATAACAGGTTCTTATTAATTCTAGTTAAGTTAAAAAAATTAAACTTATCCTACCGCATTAAGAGCAGCTTTACGATTCTCAAGTTCTTCCTGAATCTTAGGTAACTCTTCAACATGCTTGACTGTTTGCGAAAACTTCATTTCATAAAATTTGCATTGCTCTTGTAAATTTTCAATCTTCTCATCTTTCTAAAACAAAACAAAACAAAAATAAACAAATAAACATTTTTATAAAATGCAAATATTTTTCTGTCAAAAAAACATTATTCATTAAAATCTGAAAGATTTAAGTTAGGCACTAGAGTTTTTGAAGCAGTAAGAGTTATTTTAGAACAGCTGTATGTCAAAATCATACTAAATCAAGTCATGCTTTGTAAGATAAAACATCACCAATAAGTAGACATATTTTCATCCAGGCAACCACTTGACACAAATTTCCTTACAAAAGTCAAAGAACAAAAAAGAAAAAACAGCAGAAAGAAGACTGTAAATTGTTTGAGGGAAATCGATCTTTGAGGAAAAATATATGAATTTTTGTTTTTGCTTACAGTAAAAAGTGACATTATTTACAATGCTATTTGATTTAGTTTCATTCATTAAGTTAAGCACTAAAAAAAAAATGCAAACCTTGTCTAAAAGAGAAAGGGTCTGATTAGAAAAACCAACTCAAACATGACAACACTATTCCATATAAGGACAAATAAAAAGTTTACATAGATAAAGAATTAAAACAAGAAAGAAAAAAAATTTATAACTATTGCTCTATCTTAAGAATTTTAAGCATATGAGATGCTAAATATAAAAGATGTTTTTTAACACTGATGTTTAAATGTTTTTGCTGTTAACACTGATGTTTAAATGTTTTTGCTGTTAGCTTTGCATATCCTTTCTTTTTTATGACCTCTAAATACTCTGCATGTTTCAAACCAAAATAAAGTCAAAACTTTTCACATTTTGGCTGTTTTTTCGGTTTATTTTTCTTTTCAAAGTTTTATACAACAACAATAGCACACTATGTGCATAAAAATATTAAGATTATAGTTGCATATGGTACACATGCATTAAATTTGTTAATTATCAAAATAAAAAAATGATGTACATCATAAAAAAAAGTAAGCATGTTATAACAATAACAAAAATGCTATTGTTATATATAAAAACAAAAAACATTTAAAACATAAATATATCATAGGTAAAATAAAAAATTTTATTATAAAAAAATTTTAGAATCATTTCTGAACCAAATGTAAAGTTCGTATAGTTGGTAAAAGTATATTTCCGACATGCACAACATAAATTTTTGCCACTAAAATTTTTTATTAAAAAAATATTGAGCTATAAAAAAAATAAAAAAACAATTGAAAAAATACAAAAATACCTGTTCAAGCATTGTCTGTAAACCAAACAACTCAGCACGTAATCTTTCTAACTCTTCTCCTGCAGAAGAAAGTTCATTTTGTGAACGCACATAACGTTTTTCTAATACCATCATGCGATTTTCAATATCGTTTTTCTGAACTACAGCCTAAAATTTAGAAATGTCTTTCTCTAAATTTAGCTGTAAACAATTAACATTTGCATATAATAAAGGGTATTTGGGTATTATATGCAAATGTAAAAATATAAAAAACATAAAGATTTTTTACAAAAATCCTAGCCCAGTAGATTTTTTTGGGTAATTTATGGATTTATTATTATTTTATATCTCTTAAAACTTTATCTTTTTATTCTATTGTATTAAAAATAATTCTTATTTTCTTCTTTAACTTTATTTAAAAAATATTTAATATTATGTTATTTAATAACGTATAACAAGAACTTTATAATGAAATAAACAACAAAATGATGAATCAACCAAGAAGAGACAAATTAATTATACAATATGCATGGAGTAATAATAATAATAATGATCCCATTATTACTCATAGTGCTTACAACAGACTCAAGTCAAAACTTTTATGCATAACTGATTGTACATCTAATAAACAGCCAAGTATTTTATCAAATACCTTTGTAACGTCATATAAGGAAAAATAAAACAAGGGAATATTTGCTGTAGTCAGTTAATGAAAATAAGATGAAAAAAAAAGGAGGTATTTAATCAAAGAAATATATCCAAATCTATCGAGATTTAGCATTTTAGTTAGCAAGTTTTGAAGAAAAGTTGGCAAATGCCAAAATTCGAGTTCTTATAGTTTGGAAGCTTGAAATCCAATCATTCAAAAGTTGGAATTCAATCTCATTAAAACTTGATGTTCTGAACTTCAAACTTGTAATTCTGAACTTTAAAACTTGGAATTCAATCATTTAAAAGTTGGAAACTAGAGAAGATTACTTGGGTGATGCAATTTATTGAATGAAAAGATTGAACTAGATAAACATAAAAGAAGCAAGAACAAGTAGAGAAACCAAAATATCAAGAAGATTTTTTTTACTTGCTATTTCAGAGTATTTATTTGTTATTTGAGACTTCTTGTTTTTTGGAAGTGTTTTCTTGTTTACTGATTTAAATCTGATTAAAATAAACTTTTCAACTAATTAAGTACTTATTATTCTGGATTATTTAAAGTGTATTTATATTAACTACTTAAGTACTTCTGGATTATTATAAGTGTATTTATATTAACTACTTAAGTACTTATTATTCTGGATTATTATAAGTGTATTTATATTAAGTTTATATTCATTTATCATTACTACCTCCATGATATTTTGGTAGTTATATTGGCATGATATTGCTGTTTGTGTACTCGAATAACTTATTTTTCTTTTTTAAACTACTGTTTATTGCTATTATTCATTATAGTTATTGCTATATACTTATTGGTATTTTTTATTATAAGTTTTGTTGTATACTTAGTTGCTAATGTTTTATATTATGTATTATAGCCTCTGCATTATTATCTCACATCTCTTTGAATTTATTTTTATTTTACATTAATATTTACAAGCTATATTTCATTTAACAAATATTTTTTTCTAAAATCATACTTAAATATAACCAAATTGCTTTACACTCCTAATACCTTATTATGCCATCTAAGAATATTCAATTTGGCTCTCTTTCTGACCTTAAGCTTAACCAAACATTATTGCACAAGAATACTAAGTTACAATATTCTTTTGACACTACATCAAGTCCACAAAATTTAATTTCAGATCTAATTAATCTCCAAGGTTCAATTAATTGTAAATTAAATGTAATCATAATTCAGATCTTTATATTCATCTCAACATTGCTTCTTTACCATATTACATTGATGATCTCTGCAGTTTTATTAGCACTCTTAAAACATTAGCTGTGGCAATAGATATTACTGAGTCAAATTTGTATGTAAATGATACAAATATAACAAGCATATATATAAATGGTTTCAAAATTGAGCATTGCCCCACTGAGGCTAAAAAAGAGGATGTTCTACTATATCTAAACTCCAATTTAAACTACATAGTTCGCAACAACCTAAAGATCTACTCTTCCAAATGTCTTGAATCCAATTTTGTTGAAACTATAAAGCCTCACTTAAAAAAACATAATAATTGGTTGCATATATAGACATCCATCTATGAACCAAGACAATTTCACTAATAATAATTTATTCCACTATTAGATAAGTTAAATATTGAAAAAAAAAGTATTTTGCTTATTGGTGATTTTAATATGGATATACTAAAATATAATGAATCAAATCCTATATCTAGCTACCTTGACTCGCTTATTTCTTTTTCATTACATCCTATTATAATTCTACCAACACGCATAAAAGCTAAATCACTAACACTTATTGATAACATTTTTATAAACTTCAATCCACACTTCAAATTCACCAACAAAAACTCTGGCAATCTTACTATTTCAATATCTGATTATATGGCTCAATTTATCTGCATTCCTAGAAAAACTAACTACCCTAAAAAAAGTATATCTTACGGGCAATACTTCAAGAGCTTTAACAAAAATACATTTGTTGAAGATGTTTCCAACATTAACTGGGATCTCTATATTAAAAAAGATGATGATGTGAATCAATTTATCAGTTTTCTTTTAAAGACATTTGAAAATATATTAGATCAGCGTGCTCCATACAAAAAAATTAAAGCAAATTAAACTTAAATCAAAACCATAGATTACCAATGGCATACTTAAATCTATTTCCATTAAAAACAGACTATATAAAAAATGCACAAAATGTAAAGATATTAGTACTAAAAATGAACTGTTTTTTAAATTTAAATTTTATAGAAACAGAATCAGCTAAATCTACTAAAATTTAGTAAAAAACCTATTTTAGTAAAAACTTAAATAATATTAAGAATACTTGGAAAGAGATAAAAAAAATCATTAATATAAAACTTTCATACTATAGTTCAACTCTCAAAGTCAAATTGAAAAAAAAAATATCACAGATCAAACTACTGTATCGAATATGTTAAACAACTTTTTTGTTACTATCCAAAACAAACTTCAAAACAAAATTATACCTTCAACATCCGAATTTACTATCTAAACTCTCCGAATTCTAATTCTTTATTGATACTGTCACAGAGAATGAAATCTCTAATCTTATTAAAACCACCTTTAGAACTGGAAAAAGCTTGGGTCCTAATAGCCTTTCTACATTCTTTCTTAAACTTATTCCAGACATAATTTCTAAACCTCTCAGTATTGATATAAATAAATATCAAAATTCATATCATATCAAAACGGTTTAATCCCAGACGCTTTCAAAGTTGCTAAAGTCATTTCAATATTTAAAAAAGGTTCTACAATGGATATGTATAACTACTGACCTATCTCCCTTCTTTCAAACCTAAGCAAACTCTTTGAAAAAGTATTGCATAAGTGGCTCTATGCATTTTTGAATAAATTTAAATACCTTTACAAACACCAGTATGGGTTTCATGCTAATCATTCCACAACTCACTCACTTATTAAAATTACTGAGTCAAATAGAAAAGCTCTTGATGATAAAACTTTGCATGTGGTGTCTTTGTAGATCTACAAAAAGCTTTTGATACAGTAGATCATTCTATCATACTCAAGAAATTATTATATTATATAATCAGAGGAATACCTCTTAAATGGTTTACTTCCTATCTTCACAACAGATCTCAATTTGTCTCAGTCAATGACTCAAAATCTATGCAAATACATTGTTCTAACGGTGTCCCTCAAGGCTCAGTATAAGGACCATTACTTTTTCTTCTTTATATTAATGACCTTAATAACTCAATTAAGTTTGCACTTTGCTGATGATACTAACTTGCTCATTATTAACAAATCTTTAGAAACAATTAACAAGTGCATTAATAATTTAGTTCAGTGGCTTCGCTCAAATAAGCTTTCTCTCAACTGTAGCAAAACTGAACTGGTCATATTTAAATCTAATAAAACAAAAATCAATAAAAATTTAAACTTTAGATTAAGTGGCCAGAAAATCATCCCTGTAAACTCAATCAAATATCTTGGAATTAAAATTGATTCCAACCTATCATTTGTATCCCATCTTAAAGTCATAAAGTTGAGCAAATCAAATGGAAGGCTGGCTAAAGTTTGCCATTATGTCAATCTGGAAACACTACTAAATATATATCATGCCATTTTTGGCTCACATATACAATATGCTTGTCAAATAAGGAGACAACAGCAAGCAGTTTTAAGGATATCTCATCTTCAAAACAAAGCTTTAAAATAATAAATTTTCAGAATTACAAATTCAATTTTAATGTACTTTATCTTACTTCTAAGATCCTTAAACTATGTGACCTTGTTCAATTCTTGAATGGCCAGTTTGTCTGGAATCACTAACACAAAAACCTATTTCTTACCCGCAACAATTTCTTCCCCAAAAATGCAAATAACCGATACTATCTTTGATCAATTGATAATCTAAATCTTGCAGTCTTAAGACATCGTTCTGTTACTTATGGATATAAGTCCATAAAAAACAAAAGTATAAAATCTTGGAATAACCTTCCCTATGAAATAAAAGCTCTCCATTCAATCTATGTTTTTAAGAGTAACCTGTTCTATACATTTCTAATCAAATACAGTTAACAAATCCAAAGATATGTGTATCTGTGTATAAGTATTTGTGATGTGTATAAGCACATATGAATAAGTGTGAGTGTATATGTATGTTGTATGTGTATATGATAGTATTATATACCCATACATACATATATAAATATATATGGGCATGCGCATTCACACATACACATCTATGCACATATATAATATGTATGCATGGATGTGAGTGTTTGTATATATTTGTATGTGTATATGTTTTTGTGTATGTGTATATAAGTATATATATATGTGTTTGTGTCTGTGTATATATATATATATATATATATATATATATATTTTATATATATATATGTCTGTGTGTGTGTGTATGCATATATATATATATATATATATATATATATATATATATATATATATATATATATATATATATATATTTTATATATATATATGTCTGTGTGTGTGTGTATGCATATATATATATATATATATATATATATATATATATATATATATATATATATATATATATACATATATAATTATTCACCTCCCCAAGGCCGAGAAGACCACTACAGCCAAGGAGGCTATTTTCTGTAGTTACAACCCTAATTTAACGTGTTTCAGAGAAACAAGTTGAGCGCCGTACTACCAGGGACGTGGTGGAGATCGAACTCGAAACTTCTCGCTGATGAGGCACTCTACCACTACACCACTACCACATTCCTTGTTTAAGCTTTCTTACTTTTTATTACAAAATTTTTATTTCTTAAAAAATTATTTTACATTTATATATGTACAATTATTTAAAAAGATAATACCTCTTCTAATTCTTTGATAATCTTTTGATTGTTTTCCTGAGAAAAACTTGCTTTTCTATTAGTTGTAGTGACTTGATCTTCCAGTTGACTAAACTTTTCTTGCATTTCTTTATTTTCTTTCACAGACTGAAATTATAAACATAAAAGTTTTTTTTAACAATCTATTTTTAGTAAAAGTCCCCAAAAAGTTAAAAGAAAAAACAACAAAAAAACGTACTTTATCTAACTCCCTTTTCTTTTGCTCTAGTCTATATTTCAGATCATTCATTTCCATATATATTTCATTTATATTGTCATTTGTCATTCCATCTGCAAACTAGAAAAAAAAAAAAAAAAAAAAAAAAAAACATAAAATGAACTTTTGCTGAATCCAAAAAAATATATATATATATAAAATTTTTGTTAGAAAATATTTGAAACTTGGTGTTATTTTATTGTATAGAACACTTCAATCGAACCAGATATTTCTGTATTTTGTTTTGAGAGCAACCTTAATATATACATATAAAATGATTACTATTTTTGAACCTTACCTTTGAAGAAAATTTTTTAGGTAATATAAAGAACCTGACTGTTATTTAATGGACTTAAGCTACCCCTAAAAATCTAGTCCACTAATAAATTTTTTACTTTATTTCTAGCAATAAAATAAAATTTAAATTTTATTTCTAAAACTTATAAATAAAATTTTAAATCAAAAAACTAAAAATTACCAATCAGTAGAATAAAAATAATTCAGAAGATATTCAATGCTGGCCAGATAAGAGATATGTATGAGCACTAATTGCACCTATATCTATCTATAAGTTAGTCCATGTATGTATGTTCCATTGCATCTATCCTTATATATCCCAATTTACCTAACCCCTATAAATCTTAGTTAGATGCAAAGCTAACAAAAACTAGTAAACAACAGATTCCACTGGGAAAACTAATAAAGAAGAAAAACTTCAACTAAACTAATCCTCTACAATTTACAATTAAGAATGAAAATATTTTTAAAAACTGAAAGAAAAAAATAACAACCATATATATTTACTTTCCAAGCATTATTTTGCATGACAAAATTGAAAATACAATGAACATTTAATATATTTAATTGTTTATTGTTTTTACTTTTCACTAAAAGAAACTTGCAGCTGTACTACTATTGTATTTTTAAAAATATAACTTTGTATAAAGATTCATTTCAATGAGATAAAGAACAATTTTGATCAACATTAAATACAGTTTAACACAGTAAATACATTTAGCTAATTGTAGACATTTGATATGAAACACATATACATTGGTTTCAAAATCTTTTAATCAAATTGTACCTATCTTAGATTCTTTTAATAACACCATTATTTTATTTTCTGTTCATTTGATTTTTAGTAAATGAATAAGACTGTAGATTAAAATCTTTTACTAAATTTGAAACAGTAGTGCTTTGAATTTTAATTTCAGTATTGACTTCAGTCCACTACCATATTTGCTAAGAAAGTACTTTTGCAATTCTGCTAACAAATGGAGAGTCAGCATGTAGTGGAGTTGTGGAGATGCGGACAATCTTACATCTAAAGTGGCTCTATTTGTTGACAACTCAACTTTATACTCCTGTCTTGACAAAAAGTCTTCTTATTTCAACTGCTTCTCATTTCCTTAGCAGATTTTTTTTTTAACGCCTTCACTTCAAACAAGGTTGTAAGCAACCACTATTAGAGTTGGAAGTATAGAGCAAGATAACGATTGACAGACGACTTAAAAGATTGCAAATTATATAAATCAGGAAAGTAAGATAAAGGAAGCGAATTCCAAAGAACTGATGCTCATGGAAAAAAACTAATAAGATGAATAAGAGTTTTTGGAGCACTTAGGAATAGACACAGAAAAAGGACGAGACTTAATTGAATGATCTGTAACACAAGAATGAATTTTAGTAGATGGCACAAGAGACGCTACTTCTTTATAGTATTGTCTGTTATAACATTTGTAGAAAAGAGAAAGAAAAGCAACACTACGACAATGTGATAATAGTTGAAGTCCAACTATGTTTACAATGAGTTTTTGCACATTATCTAAAAAAAAAAAAGGCTCCATTGAAAGATCCGTCCCAGATATGGCAGCAGTATTCCATACAAGGACAGATTTAAGATTTATAGAGATAAAAAATAGTATCCGGAGTAAAAAAAGTGGCTAGCACGATAAAGAGATGTTAATTTTACAATGGATTTGATATATGGTTTCCAAGAAAGATTAAATGTAAGAGTTAATAGAAGATGAAGGGTAGATGATTCATCAAGCACATCACCATTCATAAATATAGGAAGATCTAAATTATTGCGGTAACAATTGGCTGATATAAATTGGGTGATTATCTGAATTAAAGTTCACAAGCCATTGTGAGCCCTATGCAGTAGCAGAAGTGAGATCCTTTTCAAGCTCAAATGCCCCCTCCAAGCAATCAGAGAATGTTGGCTTCTTATCAAGACAAGAACTAATGGTGGAATCTTCAGCAAACAATGCCACCTTAGATGTGAGAATATCTGGGAGATCGTTAATGTAAAATTAAAAGAATATAGGGCCAAGAATTGAACCTTGAGAAACCACTGAAGTTACAGGATATAAAGAAGTGTGCTGTCCATCAAGGACAGCACACTTACACTACACACTTTTATACTACAATTGGAAAGAAAGGATTCAATAATCTTATAAATGTTACCTGATACACTGTAAGCTTATGGAGAAGACCAGCATGCCAAACATTATCAAAAGCTTTAGAAATGTCAAGAGGGATAGCCATTACCTCTCCACCTCTATCTAATGCAATGGATCAACCTGTTTGTCGGCAATATCAGGTAGAACGCAACTAGTGGAATCAAGAGATGATATTGATGAAAAGTTCTTAGCAAACAATTCAGCTTTGTCTTTAGGTGAGGTGACAAAATCTGAACCGTACAAGAGAGGTGGAATAACAGATTTACCCTTATTATTGATACTGTTAAAGATTCTCTAAAAGTCATAAGAGCCTAATTTTTGAGATGAAATACGAGATTTCATAACCTTAGAATAGCATGCTTTGGCATAAAACGAAACTTTTTTACAATAGTTTCTAGCAATAGTAAACAGATGCCTGTTTTCTGGAGAATTGTTTTGCTGATAGATATGGAAGTAATGGTTTCAATTGAAAATTGCAGCAGCACAATGTGAGGTAAACCATGGAGAAGAGTAAGGCTTGACTTGGAATCATTGAGAGTTATGTAAGAAGCATATTTATCAGCAGGAAGACGAAAGATTTTTACCCAAGGGCTGTCTTGAGAAAATCACAGAATAAAAATCAAGTCAGCTTTAAGATAGTTGTAAGAGGTATGATGATTGGGTCATTCTGGTGATGAAGAAGAATGAGATAATATTTCTAGAGAGATCAAACTGTGATCAGAAGCACCTAAGGTTAAATGTGCAGAAACTGAGCACTGACTTGGATCAGAAACAAGACATAAGTTGAGTAGAGAAGGTAAATGATTTGGATTGTCCAGAAAGCGATTTGGAAAGTTGACTATTTGTGTTAGAGATTGAGAGAGGCAAAAGTTGTGGGATCTAACACCTGCAGAGTCACTGACACTAAAGCTAAACCATTCAGTGTGATGAGCATTAAGTCACCAACAATAACAATATTGGCTGATGGATAAAGAGATAGAGCTTGGTCAGTATGATCAGAAATAACATCAAGAAGAGTGCAGTCTTGAGATAAAGGAGAGCAATATAGAACAAAGAGAAAGGTGATAGAGTGAAGTGGTGCTAAACGAAAGAACATAAAAGAATAGTTGATGGATTCAAACCTAGTTTCCCAACAAATGGGTAAATTCTTATGAATGTAAATGCCCAGGCCAAGCATGTGACTATTGGAGTCTTTACGAATTAAAGGAAGATAACCATCAACACTAAGATCACAAGATCACTAAATCTCACAAAGAACAAGTAGGTCTGGTGAACTTTGCAAAAGATAAGACTCAATGGTAAAAAGTTACTTTGAAGACTACGAATATTAGTGAATGATAGGTTTAGAGAACTTGGTAATGACAATGGTTTTTTGTTTTTTATAGTTTTAGGTACTTTAGTCATTTTTAAATTTGTTAAAGAACTTCTTATAGAACTGACTCAAAACATAGATAGTACTCAGTACACTATTTGCTGGCCCATGTAATTTCCTTATTACTATTAATAAACCCTAAGCCATAACAAAAGGCTCCAAATGTGGCATCGACAATGCACACCTAAAGTAAAAACAGGGACACTATCTATGCGTAACATGGCACTGTTAGTACTCTGATACTTTACAGCTGTTGATGGAATCAGCCTCTCTGAGAGTTACCACAGTTCAGGAAACCTGACTACTAGCTGGCCTCAGAACAATAAAACTGAGTTTTAGAGCTGTACCCTCATTAAGAGATAATAGAATTGTGGCTAATAGAATAGATTGTGGCTAGTATATATATATATACATATATATATATACATATATATATATATACATATATATATATATATATATATATATATATATATATATATATATATATATATATATATATATATATATATATATATATATATATATATATATATTATATATATACTAGGTTGGTTGAAAAGTTCGCGGAGCGGCACCTATGTTGCAGTAGTAGAAACAAATTTATAACTGTATTAAACGTATTCATTCTTCGTATGAACGCATAAAAAATTTCAAGTCGATATGTCACTTCAGTCTTTGTTTACAAGCTATTGAAATTAGACGTGTCATAGTATTTTTTAAAATGGAAAATATTGAACATCGTGCTGTAATAAAATTCTTTGTGAAAAAAGGTTTAAAGCCCATGGAAATTCATAATAAAATGGTAAATGTGTTGGGTGATGATGCTCCTTCAAAAACAACAGTATGCAAATGGGCTGCGGAGTTTCAACGTGGGCGTTCAAGCCTTGAAGATGACCCTCGCTCTGGACGTCCAAAAAGTGCTACTACTGAAGAAACGATTAATGCTGTGCATGACATGGTTATGGATGATAGACGATTGACCAAACGTGAAATTGCTGAGGCTGTGGGCATCTCAGATGAACAGGTATTACACATCTTGCACGATGAATTACGTCTGAGAAAGCTGTTGGCAAGATGGGTGCCGCATTCGCTAACTCTGGATCAGAAACGCACTTGAGTAAAACTTTCTCAAGAACATTTGGCCCGTTTTCAAAAGAATAAAACAGATTTTGTGCGTCGATTCGTAACCATGGATGAGACTTGGGTTTACCACTATGATCCGAAGCTGCGACAACAAACTG